ACAGCATGCCAGAAAGGGGCTGTGGATTTCAGTGTTTTATTACAGTTGCAAACTGAGTATTTGATGATGCTTCATTCATGCAGTTTGGATTCTAAATACATTTCTACAGTTATTTTGTGTAGATCCTGGAACTTGGGTTTGTTCCATGGCAACAATAGCAGAACAGCCTGTATTTAGGACCTGGTCAAGTTATGTTCATGATGGAGGATCTGGTATTTGCTTAAATAATCTTTACATTTAATATAGAGTAGAAATTTACAGGACACAAGACTGCCATTTGGTCCATTTTGTCTGTGCTGCTCTGGAATGGAAGAACAAACCATTCAATCCTATTTACCTGGCCTTTCCCCTTATACCTCTGTAAATGACTCCTCTGTAGATATCTACCCTGTTCCTTCTTGAAAGTGAATGTGGATCCAACCTCGAGCATTAAACTGGGCAGGACATTCCACATCCTAACAACTATTTGTGTAAAAAAAATCCTTAATTTTCCCGTGTGCTCCTTTACTAATTATCCTAAATTGATGGCCTCTAGCAACTGACTCACCAACCAGTAGAAATAATTTCTCCCCATTGAGTCAATTAAAACTCCTCATTATTTTAAAGACCTCTATCAGGTCACCCTTCAACCTTCTCTGTTCCAATGAAAATATACCCTGTTCCTCTTATCTCTGCTCTTAGGTCAAACCACTCATCCCTGGTATTATGCGAGTAAATCTTCTCTCACCCTCGCTATGGCCCCGGTGTCTTCCTAAAGTAGAGTGACCAAAACTGGACACAATATTCTAACTGCGGTCTAATTATGATGCATACAGGTTAAACATCACCTGTTTCATTTAAATTCTTTGCCCCTATTTATAAAACCTTGGCTCCCATTAGCTTTTTTCACAGCTTTATCCACCTACCTTCCCACCTTTAAAGATTGATGTATTTAAGCTAAGCCCCAGCCCTTTCTCTGCTCTTCTCTTGCTACTATTCAGTGTATACTGAATGTATACGTGGAGTCCTGTAGCTCAGTGGTTAGAGCACTCGCTTTGCAAGCGAGAGACCTGAGTTCAATTCCAGGCAGAGGGCGAAACCTCGGGCAAGTTTCCTTACTCCACACAGAGCCTAATAATAATCCCTCCAAAACCAAAAACAATAATAAATTGGTCATTTTCAATCTACGACTGTTTGTGGGACATTGCTGTGCGCAATTGGCTGCCGCGTTCGCCCACAAATATACAGTCAATTCACTTTACAGTGTGTTCTGTGAAGCGCTTTGGGACGTCCTCCCGACGTGAAAAGCGCTATATCAAATGCAAGGATTATTATTATTATACTTGCACTGCCTATTCTTCCTCTCAAAATGTATATATAACCTCAGACTTTTCTGCACTCGTTTTTATCTGCCATAGCTTTCTCTCCCACACCCTGAGATCAGCTTTGCTGTTGTCAAGGGAATATTTTTACAAAAAGTCTACAATTTTTACGAACAAATCTTTCTGAAGAATGACAATTTGCATCATTATTCTGATTTTTTTTCCCCATTAGAATGTGACTGGAGGAGACTTCAGAAAGCCACTTTTCTATTTTTTTAACTTTTGAGTAATGAACTGAATTAACCATGACTAAAATGTTCTTAGATTCCCTCTAATTATAACTTACATTGTAAATGAATGGAAAGATTTTAAGATATTACATTACTCCCTGCCATCCCATATGCAGATAGATTATCTGTGAATTCTGGATGTTAATGGCATCTGTTAATGGAGATTACATTTTACTTCAATAGGAATAAGAGACTTCTTAATTTCAACCTTGATTCCAGTGCACTAGAATAAAAAGTATTCCACCACTCTGATTTAAAACCATGTGACATTTTTAAGGTTTAAATAATACAGTATGTTGCTGCACCCATCATTTTAGGAACATAGGAACAGGAGTAGGCCATTCAGCCCTTTGAGCCTGTTCCGCCATTCAATTAGATCATGGTTGATCTGTAACTCAATTTATCCTGTTAATTCTAATGTCCTGTTTTTCCCCATATCCCTTGATACTCCTGACCTACCAAACATCTATCAACTTCACTTTTGAAGGTGTGAATGGTGGTTAATCTGTTAGTCTGAAATATTAATGTCTTCCCTGAAATGTAATCTGGTTAAAATATAGTTTTACATTAAAATGATTAAAAATCAAGGTGATTATTAAGTAGTTATCTGATGGCCAAAGGGTTCATGCATGAAAATAACAATCTAATGAGGATTTTTGTGATACCAAAGGAATCACTGATTGTAGAAAAGACGATAGAAAAAAGTCTTAAGTCTGCTGGTATGAGGAATAAACTAGCTGAGGAAGACTGGAGAGAAAATCGGTAAACAATGGAAGATTTTTAACCACAAGATAGAAAATGTGCAGGAGAAATATATTCCATTAAGAAATAAGGGGAAATTAATCAATATTGGGATGGCATGGATGAATAAGAAGGTGAAAACAAACCCTCAGCTAATGAAACAAGCATTTGAAAATTACAGAATAAATAACGGAGAGGAAACAGCAAATGAAGGAAAGAGGTTAAAGAGACGTTAAGAGGGCAAATAGGAACCCTGAGGAGAAAATAGCAAAAAAACATAAAAAGAAATAGCAAGTTGTTCTATAGGCATATTAGCAATAAAAGATGGTTAAAGTTGGGATATTAATAATAATATTCCTTGCATTTCATATAGCCCCTTATCACATCATTGAGATGTCTCAAAATGATTCACAGTTTATACAGTAAAGTGAATTAACTGTATATTTTATGGGAGAAACATGGCAGGCAATTGCAGAATAGGTCCTGCCTTAGTCATGCAAGCTTTAACGGCAGGTTGGTGGGTTGCTCAGGGCAATTGAATTGTCACAGTGAAATTGTTAAACCTGAAGAAATTCTCAGATTTTCAATCCAAATAAAAGCTAGTGCTTGAGGTGATCTGAGTTGAATCCCTTATATACCATGTGTTAAAAACCTGTTCCCCAATATTTTGACTGAGGTGTTTTGAATAATGAAAGGAATTAACAGATTAGATTGACGATATATCCTTGGTTGAGCGTTCCCTTACAAAGGGAAAGCTTCAAAATCAGAACCAAGACAGTTAGAATTCGGGTCAAGAAGCCAGTGTCATCTTGGGCTTGGTTGGTAGCACTCTCACCAGGTAGGGGTTTCGAGACCCAGATTAGGACTTGAACTCACAGTCTAGGCTGACACCAGTGCAGTTTTGGGGGAGCACTGCTTTTATGGAGATGCCATCATTTGGATGAGATATTAAACCAAGGTCTTGACTGCCTGTTCAAGTGGACATTAAGGATCCCATTGCACCAGGAAATTTCTGAAGACATCTCCCGGTGTCCCAACAATCCCCCAAATAGAATCGATCATTCACTTTATGGCTGGTTCTGGGTCTTTGCTGTGCAAAATACACAATCACGACACTTGTAAGTCCTGTGAAACACTTTGAAAAATCTTCTCTATATAACAGGCATAATATCAAATGCAAATATTGGTCACCCCACTGTCAAACCATGAATCTTCCAGTCTGTGGAGCCCAGGTCTACACTGCAGTGGTATGCCTTTACCCGCTGGGCTAATGGAAGAGCCTGACAACTTTTGTCCAAGCATTAATATTGCAATACATGGAATATATTTGAATAATAAATAGAACCAATGGAGCCTGCTTAGAAGCAAGCAAAATGCAAACCAGGAAGAAGCTTGAGTCAAAATTGAACCAAGAAAATAGCCTTTGATTGAGGCTTTTATCGTGATAAAACTCCAGTTTGATTTTGGACACTCACACATCTGTAGTGGCACTAACTTGTTCTTCTGAATCTGATGTTATATTGGATGAATTAGCTTCATTATCCATAAAAAACAAGTTGAGATCTTCTGATATCTGCCAGTATATCCATTGAGGAAATTTCTTTTCATCAGTTGCAACATAAGTGTTTGATGTCGAAACTTAATAAGAGGCAAAATCAATGGTAATGAGGAGAGTTCTTCTTTCTGCTATCTCCCGGGGCCCAGCGCTGGCATCTTTATGCCATGTTCGTCTGCAATCCCAGCTGTCATTCAATTTCTGTTTCAATTATCTGAGCAACAAATTCTTTGAAAAAGCAATAGATTTTCTGATCCCATTATAACACACTTTCATGTTAGGCAGCCGACTCCAAATTGCCAATTGCGCACACCACACAAACAGCCATGAAGTGAATGACCTATTTTATTTGGGAGATTATTGGCCAGGACAGTATTTTTTCAGATAAGATTATTCAAGTCCACCTAAGAGGTGAACGGGACCTTGGTTTAACATCTCATCTGACAGATAGAAACTCCATCAATACAATGCTCCCCCAGCAATGTATTGGAGTGTCAGCATAGGATGTGAATGAGCGTTCAAAGTGCTGGTGTGGTGCTTTTACAAGAAGCCAAGAATACTAGCAACTGTGCCAAACTGACACGTTAAATGAGTTTAAGCACATTGAGGTTCATGCAACTTATGGTCTTTATCTTTTCTTTACATAGAATTTACGTAGATAAGGGATTCAACTCAGATCACCTCAAGCACCAGCTTTTATTTGGATTGAAGATCTGAGAATTTCCTCCGGTTTAGCAATTGCACTGTGACAATTCAATTTCCCTGAGCAACCCACCATCCTGCAGTTAAAGCTTGTATGGACTAAGGCAGGACGTATTTAGCTCAGACTACATTTGCAACTCTGAGGAAAGAATAGAGCAATTATTCAAATGCAATATTATTCAACAGTAAACTCTTATTATTGTTCGATAACTAATTCACCTGTGAGGCAATTGTATAGAGGAAAGCACTGTAGTGACTATAACCGGTTGCCTTTTTGTCTGTTTTGGTCATAAGACTCATTACCTTTAACTTGATGAACTCCTCAATGAACTCTCCTGTTGTCAGACCTGTAAATTGTTTAAATGTAAAGTGAATTGTTAAATGCTTTACCTTGTGCACCACTGTTTACAGATGACCATACTGAAACAACAGACTTCACACGCTCAGAGGAAGACAACAACTGGAGAGAGCTCTGAGCTAGAATTGAGAGATAGCACAGAACTTAACCAGAAGACAACCTGGAAGGTAAGCAAGCGATTTCAATGTTTTTTTTTGTTGAAAATCATTTTTTCCTTTATTTTTTGGTCAGCCAGGTGTCTAACACATTCAGAAACCCATCACTGTGCTTAAGAGTGTCCAAACCAAATGAGATTTCCATGCATCCCACCTAGACATGGAAATTCCAATGATAGATTGTTGGAATGGAATGCACACTCTCTCCCTGGAGGTCCTGCTGATGACAACAACAACAACAACAACAAGATTCCATTTATAAAGCGCCTTTCACGTCAGGAGGACGTCCCAAGGCGCTGCACAGTTGGGTCATGACCCGAGCAGGGGGGAAATGGTCAGGGTGAGGGGAGGGATGGGAGGGAGCGAGGAGGGGGGAAATGGTCAGGGTGAGGGGAGGGAAGGGAGGGAGCGAGGAGGGGGAAGAGAGTCGAGAGGGGAGCTGAAGGCACGGTCAAAGAGATGACCCAGACTGGCTGTGCCGTCATCATCAGTGCCCTGGAATACTGCGGACCTGTCTGGCTCAAGAATCGGACTACCGAGTCAGGGCTGGCTCGATTCTGACTTTCGGTTGCCAAACATGTCACCTTAGAGCCAGTTGAGCTCCAAGGAAACCCCACTTAACTTTTTTGCAATGTGAAAAGTGTTAAATAAAGGTAAATTGTACTGTAACAACATTTAAGCTCAGGAGGACTGTCTGAAAATGATAAACAGCCTCATTTGTAGATGTTCATTTAACGTGACTTTCAGCAACATCTAATTCTTCAATTGTCCTTTTGTTGCTTTAAGTAACAGCTTCCCTAATCGCTGTAGCTATTGATTAACTTTTGTTAATTGTCTGTACTTCTACTCCAATTGAACTCCACATTACCCAGGTTTTAGGAAGTAAAATATTTTCATGGTGCATCATTTTCTTTTTAAAGGGTTATTTGTTACTACAAGTGCCTAATATAACTTGTGCCAGTACGTGGAATAAGGATACGATAAATACTGAAAAGCCAAGCTATTCATCTTTTCTATCAACAAATGGTAGAAAGTAAATAAAGCATATAAGGTGTATTCGGAGGATAATGATTAAAGGGATTCTGGTAGCTGGACAGTCAGTTGGTTAAAGCATTGTTCTTTCCCCTTGGGAATATGGTTTAAACACCGTCAGATGATGAGATCGAAATAAATCTCTGCTCTGCTGGCTGTGAAGGTATGACTTGTGCTTAAGATCCTTTCGTTGCTGGCTCATCCTTATCATTCAGTCATTATTTAATGGGGACAAATCTAACCTAATATCCTATGATTGTCAGGTCAGCAAGGTCTTGCAAACACAGCATGGCCAGTGAAATGGCTAATTCATGTTATTGTTTAGACATAACATTTGAAAAAATTCAGAGAAAGTTAAATAAAACTGTCTAATATTAACTCGCTGCACTTAACAATGACTCTATGTGTTGCACTCTAGTTTGATTTGATCGTGATTGGAAATTTATGTAAATAACTTGGTTTCACATAGATATGTGAGGATAAAAGGGGATACATGAATCGTTAAGGGAATGTTCTTCATAGTAATTTATCGTCACATAACTACAATGCTTGCTTGTATCTTAATGAACAGCAGCAATGTACAAAGTAAAGATATTCTTGGTTGGCAGTGTTGCTTTCAACTTTGCTCATTTAGAAATCTATTTTGATACGTATTGTTTGAACTATATGGGTTAAAAGTGAGATATGTATATTTCTTTCAAAGAAGTCTACTCAGCATGTCAATCTCACTTTATTGCTTGATCAATTCCCATTTGGATACCTCAAAATCCAGAAAATAACATTTTATATGTTGGTCAAATGAATTTCAAAAGTGAATGTCTTAATTATAATGTTGGAAATATCTATAAAGAACCTTGTTATTCTCAGTTTGCATAGTCAGGTTCAAGAAACTGTTTGAAATGGTTGTAACATTTTTGGTTTCACTTTTAAACCTTGGAAATAATCGAGTAATTTTCCTAAATAAACTCTTAGCAAACACTCCTAGCTGAAAATGATTAAGTTTGTCAAATGTTATTTAATAAAATACTCCTTTTTTAAATAAATATTGAATTGAGTTGGTTTGTGATGTGTCAAAAATTTCTCAATGATTTAGTCTGGATTTCTTTTACTGTGTTGAGTAATTACGTGCAGGAGGCAGAACTAAACGTGCATTTGTTGATATTGGGCAAGGGCTGGATTGAACCTCTCCATAGTCATATTGCTATTGTCAGGACTTACACATGAATAATGGTCCCTTAGACAAGGCACTAGTTATTCATGTTCACTTAGTGCTTAATGTTACAGTCATTCAGTTTGAATGTTTGCCAACACCGGGGACATGGTTATTTTGCCTTTTTTTCTGCAGCGGCTTTCAAATGGTTCTATTGATGCAAACGATGAGGTCAGTCGGGTGGTGGAGTTGCAGGAGCTTCTGGAGAAGCAGAACTTTGAGACGGCACAAGTGAAAGAGCGTGTGTCCATGCTGTCAGCCCGCGTGGTGGAACTGGAGGAAGATCTGGACACAGCCAGAAAAGATCTCATTCGGTCAGAGGAGATGAACAATAAGTTCCAGAGAGACATTCGCGAGGTGAGACTTTGGTGAAACAGGAAATTAGGTCCAACATGTGGCAATTTCTGGTAGGAATACTTGTTACAGACATCAATAATACTGTTCATCACAGTAACTAGCAGGAACTCCCACTAAACACAATCTTCTATGGGAATTATTATTATTATTATAACAGCATTCTCATGAATTTTGGTAATGTTCTTTCAGTTGCAAGCCTAGTGGTTAGCATGCTCGTCCCGTAAGTGAGAGGACCGGGTTTGATTCCCAGGCGTGGAGAAGTTTGGGCAACCTTGGGCAAGTTTCCTTACTGTATTCTGTTTGCCAAGCAGTAAGTACGAACCCGATAGTTGATTGGCGGATCACTTTCCGCGGATAAAAATTCCCCCACCCCACCCCCGAAAAAAAAATTGGTCATTCACTCCACGACTGTTGGTGGGACACTTCTGTGCACAATTGGCTATATCTATAAGAAGGATATAACAGTCGTGGAAAGAGTACAGTGAAGGTTTATCAGGATGATACCAGGGCTGATAATGCCGTAAAGGTAAATTGGCTAGATTAGGCCTTTTTTCACAAGAGAAGAAACGTTTAAGAGGGGACCAAATGGAAGTGTTTAAAATTACATATTATAAGGTTAGCGTAAATAGGCTGTTCTCACTGGTTGAGGAGTCCATAATTAGGTACATAACCAGGGGATCTAAAACACAATTTAGGAGGTAGGGAGAAGTGGGTGTTTAGTCATGTGGAGTATAAACACTGGCATGGACTGGTTGGGCCAAATGGTCCTTTTCTATGCTGTATATTCTTTGTAAATCTGCACAACTTACTGCTTGACAGTGTATTCCATAACTCCATAAATACCGTGAATGATAAACTGATTGCACCACTAAGTTGTTGGTGTCAATGTCCTGTATATGGTGTCGTTCCTGGAATAACTTATGTCAGTTGTGTCTGTCTTTGCTGATTTCAGGCTATGGCCCAGAAGGATGATATGGAAGAGAGAATTACCACACTTGAAAAGCGCTACTTGTCTGCACAGAGAGAGTCCACCTCCTTACACGACCTTAATGACAAACTGGAAAATGAGCTTGCAAATAAGGATTCTCTCTACCGCCAGGTAACAAACTGTTTCAGTTGCTGAAGGATCAGTAAAGCTTCTGAACTAATTGTCATTGCTATTTCAAACTGGAAAATTTATAACTGAGTACTAAGTTACAGAACTAGCACTTAACCAGTTCTCCTACAGGATCACATTGTGTTTCTCAAAAGTGTTAAAGGGTTATTGTATGTACGACAAAAGTTTTTTTTGGTCAGTCTGGTGTGTGATATCACCATGCTTGAGTATGCAAACCAAGCTGAGAATTCCATGCATTCCTTCCTAAGCATGGAATGGACTTACAAGATCACAAGATTGGTTTGGATGATGAAAAGCGCTTTAGCCCATCCATTCTCATCCCTCCAGAACACACCACACCCACCCCACCCCCGTCCTCACGCCCGGCCCCATCACTGCAGCAATGTGTCCCAGTGTGATGGCTTCTACCCTTCCTGACAACCTAGTCATTGATTTCCCTCAGTATAAAGAAAAACATCCTGGTGTCCATCCTAAAATTTGCCTCTGCTACTCTATACCTGTGTCCTTTATTTTTACTGTCTTGATACATCCTAAAGTATTGATCCGGGTTTACTTTTTCAACCCCATTTAAAATTTTATTCTGTAACTGCTGGAGTCTAACCACACAAAAAACACCATTGAGGATTGACTCCGACAATCTGTTGTCAAGGATATCACCTTGGAGCTAGTTCAGCTCCAAGGAGGCTCTGTTTAACTCTCCACCAAGGAGAATAGTTACTAGTTGGTCGAGGAGTGATAAGAAGACGGGGGTGGGGGTGGGAAGAGAACAGGACTGGTATAGACAATTGTCTGAGAGATAGTGGTCTGAGAGATGGTGGTGGTTGATCTTACTTATGAAAGATCACAAACTTGTGCCTATTAAGGTGCTTGATCCCAGAGACACAGGACCGGAGGCAGGCAACTCAGACCAGGCTCTGCAAGCAAACAGCTGCTTGACCAGTGAACAGTGCAAAAACAGAAAAAAGATTTGAGGTGGAAAGGGTTTTAAAACACTGATATGTAACTGAAGGAAATTAATTTCTTTCACACAATTATTTTACACTGAGTATTCAATAAATACAAGCCTGCAGTTAATAATTCTGTTACAGTGCATTGGACCGGTCGGGTGCTGCACTATTGGGTCCCACCTTTTCATGCCAGTTGAACAAAATGCTCCAGTGGATTGAATTCAAGATCCTCCCTAACTTTAAAGCCAGCCTTAAAACCTATCGTTTCAACCACGCTTCCCCCCACTGCCCCACCCACCACCCACCACAAATCAAGAATTTATAACCAAGCTTTGCGTTTTGCAAGAATATTACTAAATGTTACATTTACATTACAGAGTGAAGAGAAAAGCCGACATATCCAGGAGTTGCTGGAGCTGGCGGAGCAGAAACTGCAACAGACGATGAGGAAAGCCGAGACCTTGCCTGAGATCGAGGCTGAACTCGCACAAAGAGTAGCAGCTCTTACAAAGGTCAGTGTCAGCACCTGTTTAATAACAGCAGAAAATCCATTCATAAAAAACTACGAATGAAGCTTGGAGGTTCAGAATCTCACGCACCCACCATTCTTTCTGATAATAAAATAATAATCACTGTATTTGGCATAATTTCTTTCGCATATGGAGGGCATCTTAAAGTACTTTACAGGAGTTACTGGAAAGTGTACTAGTAGGTGAACCCATTGTTGAGATACTTCCTTCTCTTTTCAAATAGTTCCATGGGATCTTCAATATCAACCTGAATAGGTGGGCGATAACTTGATTTAATGTCTCTAAACAATGGTTTAGATTATTAGATTATTACTAATAATTATTACGTTATCATCTATTTTGGACCAGAAACCTGGTACTCCCGGTTTTCTTAAGAAATGGCCTTTTTCCAGGGCAAATGACCATTGATGTCAGTTGGTGAGCCGTGTGCAGGAAATGCCACTGATGCCACTTACTGTTCACTGCACATGTGCACTATGCACAGGAAGTGTTGTGACCTCACTTTGTGGAAGAAGTAACATCAGCACTGCTTCTTCTACGTACCGCACAACATGTGAGGTCAGACTCCAAGACATTCGTACTGAAAACACAGTCCAACGATGAAAAGAGACTGATCTCTTGCCTTCCACTACTGGCAGGCTGAGGAGAGACATGGGAGCATTGAGGAGCGTTTAAGACAATTGGAGAGTCAACTGGAAGAGAAAAATCAGGAGCTTGGGAGGGTAAGTTGCATGGATTACTTTACTAAATAAAAATATTACCTGCTGTCATTGCTGTAAATGTCCTTAACAACATTTTCATTTCAAAGGGAATCTTTGCAACTTACATTAACTATTCGGATGTTTAGATCCTGCTTTCAATGTGTAGCTGTTAACATGTGGATTGTAACAATAACGTACATTAAACACATCTGTAAGAAATATATTTACAGCTCTAAGATTGATGTGGGTCACAAAGATGCAGATCCCCAAACAATATCTTTGCCCCGACAAGGATAGCAGAGCACGCTCTGACGGTTTATCTTTGGGTCCTTACACCCTTCAACTATCTGGTACCCACGAAAACACAAACAAAGATCACCCATCATCTGACAGGTTTCCTGGAGAGGGAATGAACTCATCCATTTCTATAACTTTAGTTGATCTATAGCTGGGGAGCATTATGATTGAGGCTCAGTGCTGCCAGAATGTATTGTTAACAGACAAATGGCAGATACAAGCTGCAACGATGGACTTCTTTTATAGAATAGCAATGAAGTTTACCAAGCTGAAACTGTCGTAAGTGATCAGCATCTCAGGGACACTGTCCCTGACATGTTAGAGGTACTCACCCCATTTAATAAATCAGACATTCCAGTAGTTTACTGTCAAAACAGATCTTCGGAGCATGTCTCAGTTCTGTGAAGCTGTACTGTGGAAAAAGACATATAATATTGTTTTTTGTTCACATTCTTGGTGCCATTTATAAGCTTGTGGCTGCAAAGTTGAATTGTGACGGGATATGTCTCCTAAACCTTTGGACTTTGCACAGAGTTACAAAATGAACCATCAGACAGAAAGGAGGCCATTTGTCCCATCTTAACTGTGCTGCTATGTGAATGTAAATACACAGCCTCAGAAAAATATTTTGAAGATTTTCACGACAATAAAAAGTTTGTAATTGCATCCGCATCATGTGATGCTATTTGGTTTTCGTTCTCTCTCAGTATGTCCTCTCGCTGAATGCCTACCTGCCTGTAACTGAATTGGAGAGCAGAAAGAAGTCAGTGGCTGAGTCAGTGGTTGATTCAGGTCTGGCAGCTTGAGCGAGTCTAGAAGGGAAGCTTTCCCAGGGAGGGCAGCAAATCATAGGCTCGAGCACGACAGTGTGTATTTATTCTAGTCGGGTTGGTGAGGGTACGTGGCATGTTAAGTCTTGTGGGGTGGCTGGGGCGGGCGGGCGGGGGGTGGAGGGAATTTCACTGATTTGGTGAAATGGGAGGTTCATGTTCTTGATTTTGCTAATTGTGTGGAGCTCTAAGCTTCTCGCAGGTTGGGAAAGAAGCTGAGGACTCGGCCCCTTGAAGCAATCTGTGCACCTCCTCTGGGCAGACAGAGGCTGATTTTGACAGAATCTTGAGAAGTGAGGAATTAAAATAAGTCATGGAAATAAACTTTAGGAGGAGGAACTGAAATGAAGGCTCTAGTTAGTAACTAATGGGCTGTCTTAACCATCGCAGGCACGTCAGAGAGAAAAGATGAACGAAGAGCACAACAAGCGTCTGTCAGACACTGTGGACCGACTGCTGTCAGAGTCAAATGAAAGACTCCAGCTCCACCTCAAGGAACGAATGGCAGCTCTGGAAGATAAAGTAGGTTTTATAACGTGTGCTGTGTGTTGGCACCTGGTGAATGAGCACAGGCGGGGATAGAGTTCCAGAGGGTGGGAGCAGAGTGGCTGAAGGCCCGCCCACCAATGGTGGGGCGGGCGAGGTGGGGCACGCGAAGCAAACCTTCTGAAAACACGGAATTACCTACGTTTAGGTCACTTAATCCGAGAAATAAAAGTGCAGACAATTGACAAAAAACACTGTGTTTTCTGATAAACCCCACTGGGTTAATGTAGGATAATTAATCCTGTATTAATGGATTAATGTCAGATAAAATGATCCTGTACTAAACTAGTGGTTTTGACAGATCAGTTGAAAATGAATCTGATTTGTTGAATGTGAGAATACTGAGTCTGAACCTTTGGCGAACTGAGAGTTAGGGATAAGGACCACCTTAGTCTTAGGATAATACAGTTGAACACATTATGGCACACTTCATTAGAACGTAAATTGGTGAGTGAAACCCAACGTTAACTTATCCCAAAAGATTAAACTGTGTGCACCACCTCTGCCCGTGCTTCAAAATAGAAGACAAAACGGTCAAAATCTGGGTCATCAGGACCACAGTTTGCTGGCTGGTGTCGTAAAGCACTGATGGAACCGTTTGTCTATCTGTGTGCTGGCAATCGCAGCCTGTAACAGTGTCGGACTCTAATTTCCACGGTTTAATGCAGCTCTACTACAATCTAGGCCGACTGGGTGTCTGAAACATGAGGAAAACCATCACCAAACCAGACTGAGAATTCCACATATGTGTGCCACCCACATACCGAAATTCCCATGTCTGACATCCACAGCAATGAGTGTGCATCAGCAATCAGTGCAGGGTGCAGTCTGGCTATATGGGAAACGGGAAATTTCCCGAGTACTCCCTAGTGATTGGCTCTCAAGCACTCACGTGATTGACTCCCGATACTTACTATCCTGAGCCACCTAATTGTGAAGTTCAATTTAAGCCCCAACACGTGGAGGTTTTATGCCGAACCGGTGCCCTCCGCCCCCCGACGAATTGGGCCCCCATTTTTACCTGACAACCCTGACCCCTTTTGGGGACCCAGCCTGTCACTGGGTCAGGGAATATTCCCGTGAATTTACGTGAAGGTTTATTTAAAACAAACGTTTGGGTGATTTGTTGAGAAACTTTCGTGGATCCTGGTTATCCCAGAAGTTTTCTTCTTTTGAAATGCAATTTGTTTCTGAAAAAGAAATTCCGTGTTCCATTTGTAGGCAGTGAATGGTGCCTTATGACATCTAGTGTTATGTTATAACATTACAGCTCCTAGATGCCCAACAAAAATACACGTAAGCAGGTATAATAATAATCCTTGCATTTGATAAAGCGCCTTGTCGAAACATCTCAAAGCGCTTCGCAGGATTTTACTGTAAAGACGCCATTTTTCTGGGAAAATGCAGCCCCAATTTGCATCCGGCGATGACCCACGAACAGCCATGAAGTTATTTTGGGGGGTGGTGGCATGACGGTGGAAGAAACTCCCTTGTCTTTTCAAGCAATATCATGGGATCTTTAATGTCCACCTGGAAAGGCAGACAGGACCTCGATCTACCATCTTATCTGATGTACAGCAACTCCAACAATGCAGCATTCCCTCAGCACTGTGTCGGACTGTCAGCCTGGACTGTGAGCTCAAAACCTGATATGGGGCTTGAACTCACAACCTTGAGAGAGCTACTGACTGAGCAAGGCTGACATCTTGTTTATTGCTCTTGCGTATTACAGGCAAAATGCTTGATTTCTAAGGAGTTATCTTTGTTTGCAGGACTTGTCGACAAAAACACAGCCATTACATTTCACATTAAAATTCTGTGAAGCGCTTTGAGATGAATTGACGATGTGATAAAGCGATAAGGCTCAATATCAAATCCAAGGATTATTATATTATTATTGTAGTTGTAATTATTAATAGAAGGGGTCTGTGCAGTCAGTATCTTACCATCTTGAGGTCTTGATTTTTGGTCTTATTCTTCAACCATCAGCCTATCCTCTTAACATACAGTGTGTCTATTATTGCTCATTGCTTTATTCTCTTGCTGTACAGACAAGGTTGAGATATGTATAATCCTTAAAATTTGTATAAAATTTTCATTGTATGAAACTGCAGATTTTGTTGCTATTGTTAAATACGTATTTACAAAAATCTAGCGTGCTTTCTGTGTTTTCTTTACTTCCCTCCTAGAATACATTAATACAAGAAGTAGACTGTACAAGAAAGCAGCTCGAAGAATATCATCTGGATAAGGTAAACAGGATTGACAAGGTTCTTCAGCGATGCATACACAAAATGTTGTACCCACATCTATGCTACTCATTTGAATTTCCTGCTTTGAACTCTTTATTTCCCATGTTCCAATAACATCTGTGTATGAGAAGGTAATGTGTGAAGATGGAAAGTCCGGTTTAGTTGGTAGAACTCTCACCTCTAAGTCATAAGGTTCTGGGTTCAAAGCCAATTAACATTGACTTGAGACCAGTGTAATCCTTGGTTAATGTTTCAACGTGAGTTGTCTCAGAGAGAGATAGATGATTTGCTGTTTCAAATCAAATCACTGAAGCTGAGGGAAATGGCAGTGCTAATAATGAGTGCTAAAATGGCAAGTTACTTTTTATTCTCCTGAAATGACAGGAGATGTGCTGGTGCTCAATGCCCGAGTCCCATCCTTTAGTGAACACTGTTAGTGGCTTGTATTGTTGTGCTTTTGAAAGGTTTCTGATGGTTACATCCAACATTGTTGTGTATTTGTTTTCTGCACAGGAGAGGCTGGCAAATGAAATCAACAAATTGAGAGAAGAGGTGGACCAGCTGAATCTCAGAGCAGGTGTTTTTGTAGAAAGTGTGCATCCACGGTAATTATACAACTATTCGGGGTCTTGATCTTAAGAAATGCATGTTTCTTGCATTCTTCCATGGAGACAGTTGAAGTAGGAAGTGTTGATTCTTTCAAACATCGATTAAATAGTTTTCTTTTGGGAAATAGCACTATGGGATATAGTACATAGGTAGTTTGGGACATATGTGCATGCGACCGCCAGGAAGGCGAACTAGATGAACCTTGGTCTTTACTCGTCTTGCATTTCTTATGTTCTTACGTTGTTGTTGGTTCAGTTGATTCTTTTCAAGAGCAAAGTAGACGTTCTAGAACAAGAAAAGGTTTTCTTTAATGAAATCCCTTTAGACAGAAGTTTGCATTAACACTGATAATATTCATAGATTTTGTACCCAGAAATTTCTCGCATTGTTTGACCACTTGAGGCCCGACCATTGGATTAAAGAGGTCCGAATGATCTGTTGTTAGAGAAGTGTTGTGTGTTTGCCCTAGAGGATAAAGCACTGCAAGATTAACAGTGATCATTGGGAAATGTGCGGCTGTATAAAATGAAATGAGAAAGGGAAACATTCCACCTCTGGATTCCAAACAATTCCAAACCATTTATTATCCCCTTTCATTTTATTCAATCTTTCAAACCACCTTCATTAGCGACATACTCAGTGGGTGACAATTTGCACAACATTGTGTTTGATCTGTGGAGTCCTGTAACTCAGTGGTTACAGCACTCGCTTTGCAAGTGAGAGACCTGAGTTCAATTCCAGGCAGAGGGCGAAACCTTGGGCAAGTTTCCTTACTCCACACAGAGCCTAATAATAATCCCTCCAAAACCAAAACCAATAATAAATTGGTCATTTTCAATCTACGACTGTTTGTGGGACATTGCTGTGCGCAATTGGCTGCCGCATTCGCCCACAAATATACAGTCAATTCACTTTACACTGTGTTCTGTGAAGCGCTTTGGGACGTCCTCCCAACGTGAAAAGCGCTATATCAAATGCAAGGATTATTATTATTATTATCTAGTTTTAACCCCACAACTTCTGGTTTGCAATTGCCCCAAAACTGATGGCATAACTGTATTTATTCTGTTTCTACCATCATTACACAAAGGTAAAATAGTTTCTGGGGAAGGGGATAGGTCAAGAGGCATCCCCAATAATCCAATATTTCCTGCTGCAACTCCACCAAACAGAGGTCAGCCTCAAACCTCTGATCTTCTGGGTGGGTTGAAGACACAAGTCTCATCAGTAATGCTACAATATCCTGTTTTTTTTTAAATGGTATAAAATAGTTGATGTAAACCTGAAATAACTTTTAAACAACAACAACAGCTTGCACTGATACTGAAGTCACTTTTAATGCTCTCAATTAAGGGTTTAAATTTATTGCTTTTTAGATCTCACTTGGACAGTACCACCGATCTGATGTTCCCCCTCAGTACAGTCGTGGACTCTGCATCTGAACACTACGGATCACCCACAGTGTTACGTCGAGCTCAGAAAGGGCGATTTTCACTGCGAGATGAACCTATAAAGGTATGGAAGCTCACCTGTCTCCAGTTTTCATAAGAAAGTAGCAAATAATTATGATGACTGACATTTTAATTCTTACATGTACCATGTTAATAGCATTCCTGCTATCTTGAATTCATTACCTTGACTGGCAAGGGCTCTGGGTCGCTACCCCACGTGAAGGGCGGTATATAAATGAAAGGTATTGTTGACATGAACTGATGTTGTAAATGCAGCTTACCTTTGATAAATATCTTTTTCCATTCGTTAAATCACTGCTTACAATGGACTTCAACGAATGTGAGTTGCATATTATATTTTGCCAGCATTGTTTTCAACAGTTCCCATTTAGGTGAAATAATACTGAGACGGGAGCTCGAAAGTAACTAATAATAGTGACAATAATCCTCTCCATTTAATAAAGTGACTTTCACATCGGGAAGACACAAGTCTCAAAGTGCTTTGTGGGTAATACTGTAAAGTGTAGTGACTGTGTTTTGTAGGTGAACGCAGCAACCAATTTTGCACCAATGTCCCACAAAGAGCCATGAAACAAAGGACCAATTGTATCCGGGGGAAGTTGATCAGGACACTGGGAGAAACTCCCTTCTCTCTTCTAATAGCACCATGGGTTTAACATCCACCCGAATAGATGGTTCAATGTCTCATCTGATGGCCGGCACCTCTGACAATGCAGGGCTGGCCCAGCTCCTCACCGGAGTGGCTGGCTGGATTGTGAGTTCAAAGTCTCAAATGTGGAGATCTTCATGGCGGCTCACTACAGTCTCACATTCCTGGCAGGAGGATGGCTGCCAGTGTAGAGTCATGAAACTGGTGAACATTTAGTTATGGAATGTGGTTAAAGCTGTGAAGCGCTTTGAAATGTCTGAAAGACGTGATAAGGTGCTATGTCAAATGCAAGGATTATTATTATTATTTTATTTCTCCTCATCTCCAGTTTCCACCAAACAATGGCTGATTACTCGGCTGAAAGGCAGGCCTCCCAGTCACTGCTATAATTTATCTTGAGTTATCAACGGTAAAATGTGTGGGAGAGGTCAGAGTGTCGCTTTGCCTACTGGAGAAGCACCAACTCTGATCTTCCCTCATTACCACAGTTACAGCTCCTGACGTTATTGGGGAAATCATGCTGTCATCAAGAGACTTCGTTTGTGATTCTAAATTCAGGCTGTACAGACCAGACACATGGAAATTGCAGATTCAAGCAAGGTGATGGGCCCAATGGCATTGAGCAGCAGTTACAATTGAAAATCTTGCCGTCTCTTTACATCCAGGTCGAAACTCTCAATCAGCAGGACTGGGAGCGAGCTCAGCAAGCAAATGTCCTGACCAACGTGGCACACGCATTTGATAGTGACCCTGAAATGTCCGACATTAATGATGAGGATGGCAAAACAATCCTCAGCTCCACGGACTTGCTTTCACCAAGTGGACACTCAGACGCTCAGACTCTGGCTATGATGCTGCAGGAACAGCTCGACGCTATCAACAACGAGATCAGGCAAGGAAATTGCTGAGATTATTTATCAATGACAAATACTGGAGTAGCTTTGTGATGAAGTCACTCGTTTTATGAAATGAGAATTTCATTTAAAACTATGTTTGTTTTGATTCTTTTCTGAGATTGTTTGTCTGCTGCGATCTCAGCCGTGTGCACTACCACAGCAATTACTACTCCTATGTCTTTCGTGTAAGGCCAAAAGCATCACAGAGACACCATTGAGCACCAAGCAGGGAAAAGAGGAGGAAAAGTTAACTGTATTAAACTAAATAACTTTCATTTATATAGCGCCCTTCACGCAGGATCATGTCTCAGAGCGCTAAGCTCCACGACCACCGATGTCCTGACAGCTGCCTGTCCGACATCGAGTCCTGGACGAGAGACAACTTTCTTCAGCTCAACGTGCGAAAAACCGAGGCCCTCCTGATTGGCTCACGTCAGCGCCTCCGCACCTCAGGCGCTGACACCATCAGCATCCAAGGCTGCACTCTCCACCTCTCAAAGCCAGTCAGGAACCTCGGCGTTTTGTTCGACCCTGAGCTGTCCTTTCTCCCTCACATCCGCGCCACAACTGGCACCGCCTTCCATCACCTCCGGAACATCGCCAGACTACGGCACTACCTCACCCCTCACGTGGCTGAAACTCTGGTTCACGCCTTTGTCACCTCAAGGCTGGACTATGGGAACTCTCTCCTCGCCGGCCTTCCCGCCACCTCCCTCCACAAGCTGCAGGTCATCCAGAACTCTGCAGCTCGTGTACTGTCCCGCACCAGGCTTCGCGATCACATCACTCCCACCCTCGCTCGCCTCCACTGGCTCCCCATCCCCCAGAGGATTGATTTCAAGATCCTCATCCTCACCTACAAGGCCATTCACGGCCTTGCTCCCTCCTACCTCTCCAACCTACTATCCCCCTACCTACCCGCCCATACTCTCCGCTCCTCTGGCTCCGGTCTGCTCCACGTCCCCCGCCCCAACCGCCCTACCATCGGTGGTCGGGCCTTCAGCCTCTCAGCCCCGAGGCTCTGGAACTCCATCCCCCAGTGCCTTCGCCGCTTCCTCCCTTTCCTCCTTCAAGGCCGGTCTCAAAACCTTTCTCTTTGACCGTGCCTTCAGCTCCCCTCTCGACTCTCTTCCCCCTCCTCGCTCCCTCCCTTCCCTCCCCTCACCCTGACCATTTCCCCCCTCCTCGCTCCCTCCCTTCCCTCCCCTCACCCTGACCATTTCCCCCCTCTCGCTCCCTCCCTTCCCTCCCCTCACCCTGACCATTTCCCCCCTCCTCGCTCCCTCCCTTCCCTCCCCTCACCCTGACCATTTCCCCCCTGCTCGGGTCATGACCCAACTGTGCAGCGCCTTGGGACGTCCTCCTGACGTGAAAGGCGCTTTATAAATGGAATCTTGTTGTTGTTGTTGTTGTTGTTGTAAGCAGAGAAAGGACAAGAAAGCCAGAATTCAGGATTGGGATTCGTGGAGTGAAAGGAGAGGTTCGGAAGAATTTCTCCCAGAGGGTTGTCAGGGTGTGAAATCATTTGTCAGCATTTGCTGTTAGAGTAGAGGCAGTCGGGGGATTTAAAACAGTATCTGGTCAGGAGCGAGTGAAAAAGCAGGCCTGGAGAAAAGATCGGAACAGACCACAGGGCCAGTGGGGAGCGGAGCTGACGAGGGAGCAAAGAGGGAGTATTTCGATGACTTTTAACTAACTTTGTCAGTCTATTCCTCACCGATTTCCCCAGCTCCACTTCCCACAACCTACAACTGATTCAGAGCTCCACTGCCCGTATTCTCACCCACATTAAACTCATCTTGTACCCTCATCACATCAGTCTCAGGCTCCTCTGGCTCTCTATCACAGAGCAGGACAATTTCAAGATCCTCTCACTTGCTCACAAATCCCTTCATGCCCAGGCACCTCCTTACGTTTCTGACCTGCTTTCTCCCCATTCCAACCTGTTGCCTCCCACTTCCCTCTGCGGGAGGCAGTGGTGTGGAGTGAGGAAAAAGCCCACTGCTCCCCTCCACGCCATCATCGGCGTCTGTCCCTTCAGCCGCTACCTCCCCGAACTTTGAAACTCTCTCCCTCAATCCCTCTGCCTAGCCCCCTCCTTCCCCTATTTTAGATCATGACTAAAGATCTTCCTCTTCGACTGTGCTTACAGTCACCTCCTCTCTCCCCTAACATTTTAACTGGAATCTATTCACTTTGTTACTGACCAACTTTGTAGATGAGTCTGATATTGAAATATTTGTTGCTCAAATAAGACCATTTGTTTTTTGTGTGTGTGACAGAATGATCCAAGAAGAGAAAGAGTCCACGGAGCAGCGAGCTGAGGAGATTGAGCATCGTGTGTCAAGTGGAAGCATGGATGGGCTGAATTTAACCCGAATTCGAGCTGGGACCTCCATCCCAAATTCCCTCACGGCCCTGTCTCTCGCCAGTTCCTCGCCACCACTTAGTGGCCGCTCCACACCCAAACTCACTCCACGTAGCTCTGCCCATGAACTGGACCGGATGGGCATCATGACACTGGTGAGTGCTGCAGGGAGGAGGTTAAATAATAATAATAACAATCCTTGCATTTGATGTAGCACCTTATCACGTCTTCTAGACGTCTCAAAGAGCTTCACAGAATATACACTGTAAGTGAATTGACTGCGTATTTTCAACGAGCAAACTTCAAACTGAATCGGCACTTAATACAGTACAAGTGCTCACGGGGTTCAAGCCTTTACATCACACGATTTGAGCTGCAAGATCCAAGTCGAATTCAGCCTAAACTGTTCAGACTTTTTAAAAAAAATATGATGTGGTGTCAGATGGAGGGAATAACGAATAGTAATCTCTTCTCACTTCTGCTGTAGAATCTGATTTAGAAATGGGTTAATTGATGTTGACTATTTGTTCTCTTGACAATATAAAAGGAAGCTAAGCAGGATCAGTCATTGAGAGCCACAGATTGCTACTGACTATTCCTGACTGTGGACAGTGATTGACTTGACTGGAACATCTAAAATTGTCCGTCATATCTCTCACAGACAAACCTCATTAAGAATGGGAATGCCAGTAGCATTCAACTGTTCCCCCTCTGCTGGACATCTGTTCTGTCTCGGAGTGGTGACGAGCAGAGTTCCATGAGGTCAGTTCTGGGTTGTTGGCATTTTTGATAAATTACTCTTGAGGCTTTGTGTACAGGTAGCACACAAAGATAATATAAGGGTAATATAAGGGAGTTCAATAACATTCAAGAAGATTGGGATAAATTAAGTAGCTGGCCCAATGAGCAACAGGTGGACACTGTTGTGCACAATTGGCTGTGCATTTCACCCACAAAATATATAATCAATTTACTTTACACTATATTCTATGAAGTGCTTTGAGACATCTCGAAGACGTGATAAAGAGCAATATCAAATGCAAGTATTATTATTATTATTTAGATAAATATACGCTGTTGGAGCAGTGTGGAGGGTATCCATTAGCAAAGGTGAAGAAGGAAAAGGATTTGGGTGTGGTTATTAAGGCGCTATACAAATGTAATCTTGTTCTTGTTTCCTGATGTTTTAACTCAGTGTGAAACTACAAGACAATCAAATACAAGGTTGAAGCTTGAGGGGATTTGATTCAAGTCAACATGTTATTCTAACCTTGAATCAGGTTCCATTTGGAACAGTGTGCTGGTTTGGGGGAAAGGACATTGAACCGTTGTAGAGGGTTCACAGAAGAGCAACAAAGATGATTTTCGGCTGTGCAATGCAAGGAGACACCTGCTGAAGTTGTTTTCATTAGAAAAAAGCAGGAGAGAATAACCCAATCCTAGTCTTTAAAATGATGCGAGACATTGATTGTGTAGATGTCAGAACGTTATTGATTTAAACACTTAACAAAGAAGCCAAGAAAAGGGGATTAAAATAAATTGCTTTAGAGTGGGTCAGAGTTTGAGGTGTAAAACCCCAAATAATAATAATTATTATTATTAAAACCCCACAATTTCATGATTAGAAATGTGAGTGGGGACTCCTTCAGTAACCAGAAGTACAACAGGCCAGCTCCTGGGAACACAGATATAAAAGTAGATCGTGATATGTTTTATGAACAACAGCGCATTTATACGCATTTATACAGCGCCCTTCACACGGGGCAGGGTCTCAGAGCACTTAACAGTGATGGAGCTGGATGTCGAGCCAGGGAGAGAGGGAAGGTGACTGTCAGCACGGTTGAAGAGGTAGGTCTTCAGGTGTGACCTGAAGAGAGGTAAGGAGGGAAGTCCTTGAAAGGAGGACTCGGAAAGCAGCCCTCAAATCTATTGCCATCAAGACAGATACAAACTTCTGAATTTTACTGCAGTGCCTTTCTTTCCCAGTGTACTTCAATGACAGTCAAATGCTCAGTGGTTGGTGTCTATAATCTGATCTGATGTATTATTAGTGTTTTCTTAATTCCTTCCCACTTTTGATTTTGTCTCTCTTCTCTTGCTGCTTCTGATGCTCAGCCTAGTGACTTAAGGAAACACCGACGGAAGGTAATTGGAAATAACAATCACACATTTGTGTAACAGAATTTTCCTTCCTCCCTATTCCTTGTGCCTTTCTCCATCCTCTCGTAAAGGTGATGGGTGGGAGTGTGGAATTCTCTGTCACAGTCAATCAATCACTTTCCAACAAATACTGGACACAGTTGAAGAGAGAATAAATTTGATAGAAATGGAGAAAGGCTGGGATGGCACTCATCTGGGGTATAAAAAACAGCCGGACTGGATGGGCCAAATGGCCTGTTTCTGAGCTGCAACTTCTATGAATCTGTGAATCCTTTTTTTTAATAAAAATGTATCAAGGACCAAGCTTCAACAACAGATTAGTGTCTCAGAAATATTTTCTAAGTAATTTCTATCGTTAGCTAAACTTGTATCTTGTTTTAGTCTCCAGCGACAAGAGACGACAGCCGTGAAGATAAAACCACAATCAAATGTGAAACGTCACCTCCCTCCTCACCCAGGACCATGAGACTGGAGAAGCTGGCACACTCCCTGCAGTCAACCAGTCAGGAAGAAGGCCGAGGGTAAGGAGACACTTCACCACTTAAAACTATCGAATGTGTGAAATATGTTCATTCAAGATGGTGCATCAGTGGCTGGTAGGATGTAACTTGGGATTTCTGATCCCACCCCCCCCACAATACAATACAATTTACATTTAAACGGCACATTTGACATTGGGACATGCTGGATGGCACCCTAGCTGGGGCGATGGGAGAGGAAAGATGACTTACAAGGCGATCAAAGAGGTATATTCTGAGAAATGCCTTGAAAGAGGGGAGGGAAGTACTTGGAGGGAGAGGAAGCAGGCCCTGAGGAAAGGGAGCGTCCGGGTCGGTATGGTTGAAATGTTGAGCGCAACACTAGGCTGCCAATGTATCATGTTTTTACAGTGATGAGAAATATAGATTCTGGAGCTGTAAATTGTCTGTTTGACGTGGACTGTGGGAGCACAACTAGAGGTTTGAAATGATCTTGGTGATCTCTGTATCCTCTATTACCTTTCCATGTGCTTGTCCAATTGTTTATTAAATGCCCCCAATCAATTCTGCACCACTATCCCCTTCTGAACATCCCCTCTCATGCTCTTACTTATAATACATTATTTCATACGAACGGTATCTAGTTTTAAAGATATATGTGGTCACCAATGTCAACAGTGTGCCGATCTGTCTTTAATGCTCGCTCTTGCTTTCAGCACTTTAACTGCAGAGGAGCAGGCCAGCAATCCCAGCAGCAGTAACAGTAGCCAGGACTCGCTGCATAAAGGCTTAAGGAAGAAAGGCATCAAATCATCCATCGGCCGTTTATTTGGCAAAAAGGAGAAGGGACGGCTGGGCCAGTTCAGCAAGGACATCACATCAGGGCACGGTGCGTAGATTCCCTTTACAATGGGATTTTCAAACTCCTGCAGTTGGAAGTATGATCTCCTGATTTGTTTGGGACGTCCTCCCGATGTGAAAGGCGCTCTATAAATGTAATTTTCTTGTTGTTGTTTACTTTTCTTACTTTTTTGTAAAACAGTTTAATGATCCATTTAGTCTCGTCAACGTCGCCTCTCCTCCAGCTTTGACTTCCTCTACCTCCCTGAGGCTACAGATTCAATGCCTGCAACAAGTGATTGTAGCATTCAAAAAGAATTGGACACATACCTGCAGAGGAAGGGTGTTAGGGGAGACTGATGGGGAAAGAACAAGGATAAGAATTGATAGGCTTTTGAAGGAGCAAACACCGACATGAAAAATGGGCCAAATGACCTCCCAATGTGATTTCCATTTGAATGGTTCTACATCAGGGTCATTGGTGGCTGTGGAAGTGATCACCTAGTGGAGAGGAGAGACAAGATGAGAAAAATAGAGAGAAAGTTAGGGAGAAGAGTCTGTGTCTACGGCATAGTCATCACACTGCACTCTTGAGTGTGACAGACAGACAAACAGGTGCCTGAGTACAAGATGATAATGATAATAATAATAATCATTTTGATATAGTGCCTTAACACGTCTTTGAGACGTCTCAAAGCGCTTCATGGAATATACTGTAAAGTGAATTAACTGCATATTTTGTGGGCAAAACAATGACATCCATATTAAAAAAAATTCATTTTGGAACTAAATTAATGTTTAGTGACTGTCTAAATATATTTTTTCTCTGTTTTGCAGGTTATGGATATTTGGGTAAGTAATGGATACTTGTGTGGAATAGGTGGAGGTGGAATAGAGCTTTAAATCATATATAAAATATGGATTGATCTGAGATATGATCTGCTAATTTCATGGCAGGGTGAAAGGGGGAGGTCTTAGCTTTACACCACACTCAGGAAGATAAAAAAGATTTTCCAGTTACATATTTGATTGTTTGCTTAATATTTTGTGTTGATACTTTTCCTTCCTTCCTTACTTAAGGAGAATTGTTTTTACCAGAGAGTTGTTACAATCTGGAATGCATTGTCTGAAAAGGTGGTGATAATAGTTTTCAAAAGAGAATTGAATAGGTATTAAAAATGAATTATGTCTTTAATGCAATTGTATCTATGTGGTCAATTACTAATAATAACAATCATAATTAATAACATGGTTCTATGAGCCGATGGAGATTATGAAACACCCTTTTTATTCTATTTAAAACAAAATAAGATTGTTTCTTTATATCCAAACATTTACCCTTAATCAGGTGGCATATTAGATGCAGACATGAACATCCAGGACTCACTGAGCCTGAGCAAGCTGGGAACGCAAGCAGAGAGGGACCGGAGACTGAAGAAAAAGTAGGTTTCAAACTCAAAATCATTTCAAAATATTTACACAGAGAGGGGCAAAAACCGCGGAAAAAGCAGGAAGTGCTGTAGTTTAAACAAATCCATTTGCTCTGTTTAGTTAGTCGTTTTTCAATGCCAATTGTTTTTTTAAAAAAAACTGTGGCCAGGTTTGGCCAACTTAGAATGCTGAGGCTCCACTCTACATTTTATGCACACGTCAAAATGCCTACTGCACAGTAGCCGTTGCCACTCTCTAACCAAAGTGTTTGTAATTCAGGTGCAGTGAAGATGGGTCGCACTCCACCCCCAGTCAAAAATCAGTTCATTTCTGCTCAATGCCTTGCCCATATTAAGCGTGCGATATACAGGGTCACCTTGATGACTGCAGCTCATGTGATATGCTGCTCTCTTTGATCCATCCATCCCTTTTTGACTGCCTGGATAACAATTCTGTGCTTTCCACTGAGCTGATATATCAGTGACTCCGGATACAGTCTCCAGTTACAGCTCCATATATAAAGTAGCTTTTGCTCATCAGAGGCAGTGGTGATTTTGGCTCTGTCTAATATTTCACAGATCTGGAGTCTGGAAATGCATGGTTGAATGGGAGCATGGGCAGAGTGTAAGAGAGGAATTGTATAAATTGAAACTGGGTGTACGCCAGCAACCTACAAGTATATATATGGAAGGGAAATCTGGAAAATGTGCTTCAGGGAAAAGGCCTATGTGATGATCATTGAACCTGAAAGTCACACGAACAGCTTCAGAACAGCTTTTCTTTCAGTGCTTGCAAGGAGCTGACCTGACGCCAAGTCGCATGTTTCAAAATCTGGAGTTGGGGAATTGCTGGAGGCACCCGGTAACCACGTTAAATCCACTTAAATTATCTGCACTAGTTGTATTAACCATCGCTCAGCTCGTAACATTGTCCACCTTAGGTAAAGTAATGGAGACTCTTATTCAAAATAAGATCACGGAGCATCTGGACAGTAATAAAATGATAGAAGATAGCCAATATGAGTTCATGGAGGGAAGATTCTGCTAAACTAATTTCCTGTTTTCTTTGATTGTGTGACAAAGGAGCTTGATAAGGGAAAGGCAGTGGATGTTGTATATCTGGATATCAGTAAGGCCTTTGATACAGTTCCTCTTGAAAGGCTGGCACTGAAAATAAAGAAAGCAGGAATCAGTGAAATTATCTTACAATGAATACATTAATAGGATGACTGATGGAACCCACAGGGTAGTGGTACAGGAAATGTCATCAGGCTGGGAGAACGGTACTATGGAGTTACCAGCACTGTCTGCCAAGCTTTCCCACTGCTTGTCCAGCGAGGATCACCCTATACCCATTGGGTTTTGGGGCTTCCAGGGTTAACAGGAGCTGAGTGGAAAGAGTTCCTGCTCTAAGTGACTGATCTGCCCTTCCGCTATACCAAATGCAAGGATTATTATTATTATTATTGCTGAAGAGCCAGGCTGACTGTGCTATGATCAGCAGTGCCCTGGAGTATTGCGGACCCGCCTGGATCAGGAACTGAACTATCAAGACAACAACAATTTGGATTTATATAGCGCCCTACACATGGGGTAGCATCCCAAAGCACAGGACCGCCACAGAGGAGTGCTTGTTTCTGACATTCCGTTGGGAAACATGTCACTTTGGAGCCAGTTCAGCACCAATGATATCCTGCGAGCTTCTTGGTGGGCAACACATCTCAGCGTGAAATATGTGAGAGCATTGCCCACATCTTCCTGCCCACAGCTCAGACACACATCCTTACCCATTGAGCGATGGTTCCACCAGTTGGAGGTGCGGAGTTTAAGTAGCAGCTGCTTGCCGCTCTGCAGGCCAATCAAGGTGGATTCCAGGCTTTGGATGTACAAACACATGTTCACAAACTCAGACTCCAGGTAACTCCTTCTAGCAGCTGTCTTCCCAAGCCCCAGAGGTTCCTCATCAGCTATCTGACTGACATCTGCCTTCAGTGTGGTGGGAGTACCTTTACAGGACAGCTTGTGACGTGCCAGCCACCTTGATGTTTTCTAGGTCTAAGTCCAATGTTACATACCAGGCTTACTCAGCACCAGCTGTTTATTCCAGGTCCTCATGAGGGGCTTTGGCAAATTGACGTGCCCGGGGTTCTCAGTGACAGGTCAATGTAGGCCAGAGGTCTCCCTCCCTGCAACTGCTTCCTGTGTTTGCTACAAATCCACCTCACTGCTCAATCCTGGACTTTGCGACTAGGTCAGAGGAAGCCTTTGCATGACATCCCTCAGGAGCTCATTCCATAATAGAGAGCTGTTTCACACAGGTATTAGATGCCACAAGATTGACCTGTATTTGGATCTTGCTGTCCTTGAAGGGAGACGAGCACAGCAAGAGTGCCCTTCCCCCTTCTCTGCATTCCTTCAGCACAGTGTCCAAGCACAGTTCCCCTCACCTCCACTGTGTTTTTTCTAGCAGTTTCTCCTCCCCGCCTTGCATAGTCACCTACTTTATAATAATCCTTGCAATTGAAAAATACATATTTCCCATTCAGCTCCTATTACTTTGTACCTCAGAGATCTATCCTCAACTCCTCTTTTCCCTGACATCCATGCTCCGTCTTAGTGACATGATCTGCAAACATGGGATAAATTTAACATTGACACTGATGACACCCGAATCAATCTCTCTGCTTCCACCCTTGATTCCAAGCCATTTGGTGGTCTGACCGGTTGCTTGTCAGACACCAGGTCCTGGATGAGCCTTAAATTTTATTGGTTTAACATTGAGAAAATAGGAGCCAATCCACACAGCAAGTTGGATATGGATTGGTCGTTGGAGAGTTTGTGAGGTTGGGTGGGTTTTTTGACATGACAGGCCTAACTCTGAGGGGACAGACTAATCTTTCTAATCCTCTTATAGACATGAGCTGCTGGAGGATGCTAGAAGGAAGGGCATACCATTTGCACAATGGGATGGACCGACAGTTGTCTCATGGCTGGAGGTAAATTCCTGGTCAATGTGACAAATGACATTCTGTCCATCTGTAACCAGGGCTCCCTCTGTCTCCTCCTCCTCCTTGACCTCTCTGCTACCTTTGATACCATTGACCACTCTATCCTTCTCCGCCACCTCTCCTCTCACCTCAATCTTCATGGTCCTGTCCTTGAATTGTTCAGATCCTTCCTCTCACACCATCTTCACTTTGTCTCTACAAACAGCTTCTCCTTTAGCCACCGCACCGTCTCATGCAGCGTTCCTCAGGGCTCTGTCCTTAGTCCCTTCCTCTTCAATATCTACTGGTGACACTGACCGTAGACATGGGGTCAACTTCCATATGTAATCAGATGACACCCAACTCTTAACTCTCTGCCTCAACCCTCAACTCCCGAGACCCTTATCCATGCGTTCATCACATCCAGGCTTTACTATGCAAACTCCCTGCTTATTGGCCTCCCCAACTCCTCCCTCCACGGGCTGCAGATTATCCAGAACTCTACAGCTTGTGTCCTCTCCCGCACCAAGCTCCATGACCCTGTCACCCCTATCCTTGCCTGACTCCACTGGCTACAGTTCAAGATCCTGGTCCTCACCTTCAAAGCCCTCCATGACCTTGCTCCTCACTCCCTCTGTGACCTCCTAACCCCCTACCAACCTGTTCGCTCCCTTTGCTCAGCAGCCCCCGGCCTGCTTCACGTCCCCCGCCTCGCCCGCCCCACCTTTGGTGGGTGAGTCTTCAGCATCTCTGCCCCCACCCTTTGGAACTCCATCCCACAGTCCTTCCACCTCGCCCCCTCCCTTGCCTTCTTCAAGACCCGTCTCAAGACCCTCCTCTTTGACCGTGCCTTTGGTCACCCTCCTATCCCTACCCTCCCCGCCCACCACCCCTCCTGATCCCAACCACCAGCTCCGGTGTGGATCCTTGACTGTCCAGCGCCTTGGGATGTTCTCCTGACGTGAAAGTCTATGCAAATGTAATTTCTTGTTGTTGTTGTTATATTGGAGCTGTGTCAAAATGTAGGATAAAGATGCCCAGGATATGAAAACTGAAAATAATGCTGCTTTTCCATGTTTGCTATAACATTAAACAGCTGTGGGTGGGAATGCCAGCCTGGTACGTAGCAGCCTGCCGAGCCAATGTGAAGAGTGGTGCTATCATGTCTGCCTTGTCTGACACAGAGATACAGAGGGAGATTGGAATCAGCAATCCCCTTCATCGATTGAAGCTCCGACTTGCAATACAGGAGATGGTCTCATTAACAAGTCCTTCAGCACCACCTACTTCAAGAACGGTAAGTCTCCCACATTGTCCAAAGACTAGATTCGTCAATGAGGACACTCGTTTACAACAAGCTAAGATATGCACACCCGACTGAACAAGGCAGAGATTCTATGCTGGGAACAATAACACTTGAATGCTCAAATCAGCTAAAGAGTCCTTATTTCAGACTGGAATTTCTGTGTCATGGTGACAGGATAAGAGTTAGAATGTTCTCACAGTATTCGTTTGAATTGTAAGGCAGCATCTCGAGCCTCAGCCACTGGGGTCTATTCTTCACTTTTATTTTCTACCTTTGCTTCTTATCTAATTTCCCCTTACGATTCTCTCAAAGCTCACAGGTACCCTTCCTAAACCCATAGAAATAGGGATTCTGAGGTTATAATCTGAGGGCTATTGATAACTCCAACGCTGTTTAACCAATTGCTTGTTTACTTAGTGTAGGTAGAAAGCAATTTTAATCTCTTCTAACCGATAATCTCACTGATTGAACCTCATGCGCAAGTAGTGCTTGGTAATTTTTGTGATGTTGTACTGCTTTGTTGGTTAAAATGTTAGTGTGTGCTCTCAAGAAACTGCTTAAATACTTTGCCAGTGTTTTAAAATGCCATTTCATGAGGAATACGGCAGTTTGATGTGAGATTACATAAAAGCAAGTCTATCATCTCACCATTGTGGAATCTTTATTATGTGCAAAAAAATTCTATCCTGGAAGCACAAACCTGTGTAGCAATCAACTGCAAAGTATTCTAAAGGATTTCAAGTCATTTGTAGGCAGTTGAAGGGTGAGGAAGGGTGTATTGACAATTATAAAGACTCATTCTTCATGAGAAATTCGCTTGACTGACATTATCACAGAACATTCATTTTGCTGATTTTATTGAGGAACCAGGGATGGATGTGTGGATTACAAGGGAGAGAAAGACAAGATACAGTGCAGCCCTGTTACAACGTGGTTTCACCTTAGCATAAATTTGCTTATTGACACAGTTACACTGTGGACGCCATTTAATGTGCATGGGGGCTGGGCAGGGTTGGGATTGGGCTGTGGCTGAGATTTGGGTTGGGGCAGAGGCTGCATTGGGCCTAGATTAGGTTGGGTTGGGGTTGGGGTTAGGTTGGGGCTGAGCTGGGTTGAGGCTGGGATGACTGGGGCTGCACTGGGCTGGGATTGGGGCTGGGTTGTGTAGGTCTAGGCTTGGGTTGGGCTGCAGTTGGGGTTGGGCTGGGCTGCCAGCACCCTCTTTGCTCTTTTAGAAATCCACTTCCTGCTGTGAAGAAGTAATGATGGGAATGAGGGAAAAGGGTTAATCAAATAGTCTCCTCCATTGAAGAAGGAAAAGGAGGAACTAAGAAAAGACCAATGAAATTTGCTTAAAGGCTGGGCTTGTAAGTGGGTTCTGTGCAGTCTTGATCTATACAGTTTCTCGGCAAAATCTCTTGCATCATTTCTTCCTGACGGTGTCACACTTTTCTCCCTTCACACTGCTCCCCTCTGACTGGACTCTCTGTGCTGGACGGGCTTTCCAATTAGTCGTCTGGAAATGTCTGGTTGACTCATGAGGAAATGGAAAATATGGCAGCGATGGCAAAAACGGTTAGTCTGTCTCTGTTCACGTGTGCTTCACGCAAAGCGCCTGCATGTCAATATTTTCAATTAAACATAATTAGCTTTGTATAACTAACAACAACAAATTACATTTGTATAGCGCTTTTCACATCAGGAGGATGTCCCAAGCACTGGACATTCCTGAGCTGGTGGCTGGGATCAGGAGGAGTGGAGGGTGGGGTGTATAGGGATAGGAAGGTGACCGAAGGCAGTCAAAGAGTCTTGAAATGAGTCTTCAAGGAGGCAAAGTAGTGGGCGAGACGGAGGGACTGTGGGATGGAGTTCCGGAGGGTGGGCATCAAATCAAATTAATTTTGTTACTCAAAAGAAATAAGTGTTGTATATGTGCACGTTTAACCCCTTTGCCATATTCTCTCATGACCAAGTGTGAGCCGAGGCAGTGTGTGTTGGTGGCTATTGAAATGTGAATACATCAGTAGATGGGCCCTGTGCTGTCGTCATCTGATATTTACACACACTGAGGGGTACTGACTGACTTTTCCTACCACTGACACACTGTCATGCCTCTTCTATCACAATACGCCAACATTTGAAAGTGAAGGAGAGAACGAAAGTTAGAGAGAGTGTGGCACAGAAAGAGAGAGAGAGAGAGAGCTCACTCCTAATGGTGAACACTGCCAGGAATCAAACTTGCAATTGATTCCTTCGTGACATCAAAGAGTAGTCAGCTTTTTCTGGGCTTGAACTTCTAAATACAGGACTACCCCAGTATAATTCCCCTTTGCAGCCTGCTGAGACATCTTTACCAACTATTCACAATATCCAGCTGCTCCGTAGCCTGTATCTCACCAGAACCAAACTCTGTAGCCACATCACTCCAGTCCTTGCCAGGCTTCACTGGCTTTTTGTTACAGAACGGATCAATTTCAAGATCCTCACACTCCCCTACAAATCACTTTATATCCTGGCACCTTCTTACCTCCCAAACCTGCTCAAACTCCTCTACTCGCCGCCTTCGCTCAGCTAGCTCCAGCATCCTGCTCATCCCCTCTGCTCCATCATTGGCACCCGTGCTTTCAGCCACTGTGCCCTGAAGTCTGGAACTCCCTGCCTCAGTCTCCTCGTCCCATCTTTCCCCATCTTCAAATTACACCTGAAGACCTTTCTATTCAACATCGCCTTCAGTCACCCTCCTTTCTCCCCGGCTCAGTATCAGATGGTTGTTAAGTGTTCTGAGCCACCATCCCACCTGAAAGGGGCTGTATATAAATACAAGTTGTTGGAATTGATTACTTGAAATGTATTGAGTACAGTGACTCAGTGAGTACAGGAAATATTATGCAGGAAATGTTGCTTCTTCTAAGGTTGCAATTATTATTAATAATAATAAAGTGAGTGAAGTGAGTGACCAGTTTTATTTGGGGGATTGTTGACCAGGACAACCATCTCTTTTTGACAAGAGCCGTGGGATCTTTAACCTCCACCTGGACAGGCAGAGGAGATTAATACATATGTTTGAGTTATGTAGAGGGTGCTTTCCTTTGTCAAGATCTATCTTCCTCTCACCTTGCCATATATATATATATATTGTATAAATATTGTAAGCAGGAAAAGATCATAGCCTCAGCTATAATCAATCCATGTTACTGGTACATATCTGCACAGGTTGTGCAGTAGTTGTTATGTTTATTAATGTGTTTTATGTTAATAAGATGTACACCTATGAAGTGAACAATAAATGTCTATTATAAGACATTGTTTTGTCCCTTCTCGGCTTTCCTGTTTGCTAAAGAAAGTGTTCTGAAGGAAGCTAGGTAATGAAGTAGACATAACAGACCAAATGGTGTACTCTCGTCTCTTAAGTTTCTAAAACCCCCAAGAGAACTGGTGATGTGCTTTGTCCATGATTTCAAATGTATTGCTTATTAACACCCGTGTTCCCCTCTTTTCTATTAATGCTATGGCTATTCGCCTACTAACCTAACCTAATAGGGGGATGAGGAGGGCAGTTGGGCTCAGGTGAGTGTAACGAACAATGTAACCTGAAGGATCATCAAGTCAAACATAAGAATAAGGAATCATTGAGTACATTTCATATTCTACAACCCCAGTAATAAAAGAATATACAATGACCCCGAAAGTCATTGATTTTCCCACTAATGTAGAGAGACTCACGCTTTACTGATTTTATCCTTCATTTTCTGCATTCCTATTTGTGTCTCCTTTTGCATCAGATTTTTCACAAATTCATGGTTTCTACCTTTACATAATTTCTTTACTTCCAGTAAATTTGACAAATGCCCTCTGAAACATTTTATGTGTATAAAAGCTAATAATCCTTGCATTTGGTTTAGTGCCTAATCACATCGGAAGGACGTCTCAAAGCACTTCACAGGATTTACTGTGAAATGGAGTGACTGTGTATTTGTGAGCAAACGTGGCTACCCAATTGCGCACAAAAATGTCCCATACGCAGCCATAAAACGAGGGACCAATTTTATTTGGGGGCTTGTTGGCCAGGACACCAGCAGAGAGAAACTCCTCTTTTTGAATAGTGCCAGGGGATTTTTAATGTCCACCTGCAGGCAGACGGGACTCCGGTTTAACGTCTCTTCCAAAGGACAGATGTTAAATGAATTAAGTCTAAATTTGTAAAATTGACCAGAAAGTCTTTTTCAATTATGTGTTTAACTTTTCCATCCTGATGTGTTCACAAACTGCAAAAATCTAATGTAAGCTTCAGTGTGTAGAGAGTGTGTGTCACTCGCTTGTTCAGTTCTCATCATCATATTTTCAGGTCAGTGACACAATTCTGTCGAAATTGCCTGTCAGGATTTTTGTCTTCTGCTGTAATATCGTCTGCTCTTCTTCCTCAGACTTTGGCTTACGGAGACATGAATCATGAGTGGATTGGGAACGAATGGCTTCCCAGCCTTGGGCTGCCTCAGTACCGCAGTTACTTCATGGAGTGCTTGGTGGATGCTCGGATGCTAGACCACCTGACGAAGAAAGACCTCCGAATGCATCTGAAAATGGTTGACAGCTTTCATCGGTGAATGCAGCTCGCTGTTTAATCCTTTTGTTTGATATGAAACTAACTTATATTTCTGTTCGTATCCACTTTCAGCTTTCCCTTATGATAATGTTCAGATAACCCAAAGCTTTTCTGGTACCGGTCATCTCATCAAAAGGAAGAATATTTATATATCACATATACTTCGTCTTGGGCAAGCGGTCAACATTTGCCCACATTGTATCTTATTTTACCCCAACCAGTTTGGATAAGAAATTATTCTCATCGTACACCAACATTCTCAAGGCTAAACCTGCATTATATTCCTGTGAAGAACATTTGAGATGTTCTCCTGACGTGAAAGGTTTTGTATCAAATACAAGGATTATTTATTATTATGCATATTATGCATTATGAAACAATGCAGCAGTACTTATACTAATAATCATTGCATTTAATGTAGAACTTTTGTTGGGAAGAAGTCTCAAAGTGCTTCACAGTAAAGTAGCATTGTATAGGGAAATGCAGCAGCCAATTTGCACACAGCAGTGTCCAATAAACAGCCACAAAGTGAATAACCAATTTTCTCTGGAGGATTGTTGGCCAGGACTCCGGGAGAAACTCTCTTCTCTTTTTGAATAGTATAATGCATGTGACACTTGTCTGACCAAAAAAAGTACTATGGAACTGATTTGGAAAAGAGCAAATATCGTGGGAATTAAAGAATTATTTGCTGTATGGGTTTCAAAGCAAAGAGGATTCAGGATTGTGATTCGGAGAGTTAAAAGAGAGGTTCAGAAGAACGTCTTCTCCCAGAGGGTTGTCAAGCTGGGGAATGATTTGCCAAGTATGGCTGATAGAACTAGAAATATTTGAGGTCTTTCAAGAGAGAATTCAACAGACAACAACAACTTGCATTTATTAGAGGCCCTCACGCAGGATAGCGTCCCAGAGAACTTGACAGAGAGAGCACAACCCTGAGTTAGCCGGCGATGGTGGAGTGGAGGGCACGAGGGACATGCAGGAGGCTGGAGCCAGTCAAGCAGAGGTAGCGGGTAGTGGGTTGGAGAGTAACCAGGTCAGAGAGGTATGGAGCTGCCAGGGCATGAAGGCGTTTGAAAATTAGTGTGAGGATCTTGAAATCGCTCCATTCAGCGATTGGGCGCCAGTGGAGCCCGGCTAGAGCTGGTGTGATGGGGTACAAAGTTTAGTGCGGGTGAGTGCAGGCGGCGGAGTCATTGATCGGCTGGATTTTGTGCAATTGTGGTGGAGCTGGGCACTTGAATAGTCGGGGCAGGAGAGGACGAACACGTGAACAAGTGTTTCAGCTGCATCTGGGTTAAGGTACGATTAGAGGCGGGCAATGTGGCGGAGGTGGAGGAAGGAGGTCCTGGTTAGGGACTAGATGTGGAGTAGGAAGGGCATGAAGAGGAAGGAGATTAGAGGGGACAAGGAAAGAGCAGGAAATTGAGATTACAATGAATGAGCAGGAGTTAACTGTTAGCCGTTAGTAACAAGCCAGTGGTGACATTGCCTGTCATGTTGGATACAAAATCGGGTTTGTGGGGATGGTAGAGAGTCTGCCTGATTGAAAGAGATGTGAAGCAGACAGTTTGAGGCGAGCTCTGTGCAATGCAGAATCAGCCAACTACTGAATGTGTTGAGATTGCCACTGGAAGGCATTCTACACTGGGACACTGTGAGATTGTAAGTGAAGGCTGACTGGAGTTTCATTTAACTGCATTCGCAATTACTCAGGGATCCGTGTAGGATCAAAGCGTTCCTGACTACATGCTCATCTTATGCCTGCATCATGGATGGAGAGGCTGCTTCTGAACTGTCCACTTTATTTACTGTGCTAAATCTCAGCAGATGATGTGTTTTGTTTGAAAGATTATTTTTTTCTCAATGTTGATTTACGCACGGTCACACCTAAAAAAAATTACAATTTAAAATCAGCCAAGTACTCCCATTGAATTCTACATTTATGTTGCTTTAAATGTTGCCTTTCCTTTCAGCACCTGTTTACATTATGGAATCATGTGTTTGAAGCGATTGAACTATGACAGGAAAGAACTAGAGCGCAGGAGAGAAGAAAGTCAACTGGAAATTAAAGGTTAGTTTAAAGCAGAAACTACAATTCTACTAATATCTTCCTGAGAGAGAAAGAGACTGCACTAGAGATTTACAAAGAATGTACAGTATGGAAACAGGCTGTGTTTAAACCCCACACGAGTCTCCACCCATTCCTCATTCCCTCTTGTACCCTCTATTTCCCTCTCCCTCATAGAGGCTTACAACAATAACAACAACAACAACAAACAAAAAATTACATTTGTAAAGTGCCTTCCACATTGGGAGCGCGTCCCAAGGCGCTGGACAATCAGTGTTTCAGATCCAAGCTGAGGTTTGGGATCGGTGAGGGCAGGAAAGGAAAGGAGGGTGACCTCGGGCACGGTGAAAGAGGAGGGTCTTGAGACGGTTCTTGAAGGAGGCAGGAGAGAGGGCAAGGCGGAGGGATTACAGGATGGAGTTCCAGAGGGTGCGGGCAGAGTGGCTGAATGCCCACCCACCAATGGTGCCTGTGCCGGCTTTTTGAAAAAGTTACCAACTAGTCCCACTCCCCGCTCTTACCCCATAGCCCTGCACAATTTTTCCGTTTTAAGTATGTATCTAATTACCTTTTGAAAGCTATTAGTGAATCTGCTTCCTCCACCCTTTCAGGCAGTGCATTCCAATCCGGAACAACTCTCTGGGTAAAAGAAATCTCCTCGGCTCCCCTCTGGTTCTTTTGCCAATTATCTTAAATCTTGTCCTCTGGTTACTGACCCACCTGCCAGAGGAAACGGTTTCTCCCTATCTACTCTATCAAAACCCCTCATAATATTGAACAACTCTATTAAATCTTCCCTCAACCTTCACTAATGATTCACTAAGTGTAAGATATCTCAATAGGAGCTCTATTCTTCTGCAGAACAATACATGTGTGTACTTGAACTCCCACGTGGCTGTCTGCTGTTTATATTCATTTGTGTGAACAACCTTTTATGTAACCAACATTTTGTTGAATTGCAATGCAGTTGAACAAATTAGTATAACGAACTATAGCCACTATTCTCTCCAGCATCTTGGGACGTCCTCCCAATGTGAAAAACACATGATAATAGTAACATAATAACAATACTTCCATTTGATATAGCGCCTTATCACGTCTTCGAGACGTCTCAAAGCGCTTCACAAGATATACTGTAAAGTGAATTGACTGTACATTTTATGGGAGAAATACGGCAGCCAATTGCGCATAGCAGTTATGTAAATATAACTTTGTACGTACATGCTTCCATTGCCTAAGCATTGCTTCCAGACAAAATGTTGAACACGTTCTCGAAGCTTTAGCGATATTATACCGGCTTCAAATGCACAAGTTATAGAGGCTCATTTTACATAACTAAGAGAAGCAGCACTCAACACTAACATGAGTTGACGCAGGTCAAATCTCTTTTAATTGAAAACATAATTTATGGTTGACTCTTCTCAGATGTGCTGGTGTGGACTAATGATCAAGTAACTCACTGGGTTCAATCGATTGGGCTTCGAGACTATGCAAGTAACATTGTTGAAAGTGGGGTGCATGGAGCATTGGTTGCCCTGGATGAAAATTTTGATTACAATAGTCTGGCATTGTTGTTACAAATACCTACACAGAACACCCAGGTAAGGCCTTCAATGATGTCTTTATTCTCTCTGCTAATTTATTTTAAAAGAATAATTCGGTATTCAAAATCACTTAAACTCTGTGTTCTTTTTTAGGCAAGACAAGTCTTGGAACGAGAATTCAACAATTTGTTGGCCTTAGGAACTGAGCGGCGATTGGATGATGTGAGTAATGGTGACTATCCCATGTTGTGTTTTTTTTATTTCTTTAGGCTCTGAACAAATCGAGTTCCAGCTTTCCGTGGTATCTCAAACTAACAAATATCAGTAATCTACATTGCAGAGCACAAAACTGTTCAGATTCAAATCCCCCTGTATGAAAATTTAGTCCATGTGTTCCAATATAAATACAGTAAGAGGGTTAAAGACAAATTCTGCTTCACAAATGATAATTGGGAGTTTTAATTAATGAATCATAGAATCATCTAAACTTACAGATCAGAAGGGAGCCATTCGGACCATTGACCCTGTGCCAGCTCTTTGAAAGAGCTGCCGAATAGGAGGGCGATTTCTAGTCTGAGAAACAACAGTTCACCACTGCTCTTTGCTATCTGTCTCCCACACAATTTCGTATCATGCTGCTTTCTTTATTTGTTCAATTTCTCTTTCTTTTTTCCACATCCAATAGTTCATCCAACTGTTAATTATATCACTGTAACCAGGATCAGTGTAGTATCAAATCAAGCCTGTGACACTGATGACTAACAGCATTAGTACCCCTGCAGGGAATACTCCACCACTGCAGTACAGACATGTCAATGTGCAAGCTCCATGAGTGCCACCAAGAACTGAATTGGTGAACTGGATCCAGGCTGAATTTGGTCCATTTGGGATTTGTTTGGTGAATGCACAAATTTCACCCAATTCAGTCACTTCAGGTTGAGAAGATTTATTTGAAGCTACAGTGTACTGCTGCACACAATTATTGTTGCTCTCTGTGTCCTGCTGCAAATGCATATAATAATAATCCTTGCATTTCATGTTGCATCACCCCCTCATATCACGCAGTCGACACGCCTTGAAGCGCTTCACAGGATTTAGTGTAAAGTGTGTTTTGTGGCCAAAAGCGGCAATTAGCCAATTTGTGCACAGCAATATCCCTCAAACAGCCATGGAATGGAGCAAGTGACCAATTTTATTTGGGGGATTGTTGGCCAGGCCACCGCAATTAACTCCCTTCTCTTTTTAAACAGTGCCATGGGATCTTTAATCTCCACCAGAACAGGCTTGGTTTAACATCTCATCCAGAGAAATGTCACCTCCGACAATGCAGCACTCCTCGGCACTGTATTGGAGCGTCAGCAAAGACTATGTGGGTTATAAGTCCCGATGTGGGGTTTGAACCCACAACCTTCTGACTTAGAGGCAAAATTGTTACCAATTGAGCCAGGTTGACACGCCTCATATATTCTCCATATGTGATGTCAAACATGTGCGTGGTTGGAGTTTAATTTTTAAATGAAAATGCGGAATTGTTTCAGGCCCGAAATTTTACATGTTCATAGTCTTAAGTCTTAAAACTGTCTCATAATTTTCGGCTCAAAGTTTCATGGTTTAGAAATAATTTCTAATAAAACCTGAGGAATCAGTTGTGTCATGATTAGTTGTGAGATGCCAGTGGGCAGTTTCACTGGTGAATGGGTTTGTCCTTTTATTCTGGAGTCCAAAATAAATGACAGGGATTCCACCACTTTGACTGTATAGAATAAGTATATATTAACCGCCCAGAGTAGAGTAAGGTCATAGAAGTAGACCTAGGCAGGCCTGTTCCATCATTCGTGGAGTCCTGTAGCTCAGTGGTTAGAGCAACCGCCTCGCAAGCGAGAGACCTGGGTTCGATTCCTGTTGGGCAACTTTCCTTACTCCACATGCCTCTATTTATCCAGCAGAAAGTAGGAACCTGGTTGTTAGTCGATTGTTGGATCGCTTTCCTGGGGGTAATATTTCCTTCAAAAAAAAATATGATAATAAATTGGTCACTCAATCCACGACAGTTTGTGGGACACTGCTGTGCAACATTGGCTGCTGTATTTCGCCTACAAAATATACATTCGATTCACTTTACCATATATTCTGTGAAGTGCTTTGAGACTTCTCGAAGACGTGATAAGGCGCAATATCAAATGCAAGGATTATTATTATTAAGTTATAGCAGATCTGTTAATCTCCTTATCCCACTGTTTCTCCACAGGCTTCTCAAGTTTTTGTTTCCATTTTAAATGTCCCAATCAATTCTTCATCTACAGCCTTCTGAGGTCATTGCATTTCACGTTCTCACAAGCCTCTCCACAGAGAAATGGCTTCAGTGTAATCTGATTAATTTTCTTTCGAGTTCTTGCCAGTTTTGCAGTCTTTTACAGTCTTTTACAGTCCTTCTGTAACTCCAATGATAGGGTGACGAGAAAGGTTTCAGGCGTGCCCCATCATGGAGGAAACGCTTTCGACCACGTGGGGTTCCTGGCATCACCATGGTTGCTGGGTCTATAAAACAAGTACCTGGGAGCTTCAGGGTGACAACCATGGCTACCCATCCCCCATCACTACAGCAGAAGAAACTGCAGCCAGAAGGTAACAGAAGCATGTTGATTTCAGCCACGCAAACCCAGTAACCGAATTAGACAAAGCACAGTCTATATAACAGCACTTATATTTGATAAGCTTCAGCTTCACACATTAATTACTGTGTAAAGGACCTCAGCTCCCACTGTGCTGCTGAGCGTGTGAAGTGGATATTTCTATGCCACGAGGAGGGAAAATCCAAGTCAGCAACACAGGAGTCCAATCCAGGAGCAGAGTTTTTTATACAATTGGTTTGAAAATGATGCATGGCTTTGGGAAGTGAGGAAGACCATTTTATATAAAAACGGTCTGGATCTCTCTCTATGTTGATGGTTGAGGCCTGAATTCCCAGCTGTTTGTGACTTGAGCGCAAATTTTCAGCCAGACCACTTTGGTCGATTGGTGTGTGAAAGCTGAGGGATGAAAGGGGAAGAGGCAAGAGATAAAACAACTAAACTAAATTAAATCTCACCTTGTGTTGGCTGATCACACAATGCCAGTTACACAGAGAGACAGCCCTGTGGCAATCTTTCCCATTCCTCTCTCACTATATTGCCAATGCATGGTGCTGGGCAGTTGATTAAAGGAAGAAAATAGAGAGAAAGCTTGTTTGACACTTATCTTTATTGTCTTGTCTAATGTGCAGACGTGGCTTGCTGTACTTACTGCATGTTGTGTGTATTTTTTTTGTTGTGTTTGCTGTAACTGGAACACAGTTGGTACATCAGGGTCCCAGAGGTTAGATCCCTCTACAGTACGCACATATTCCTGCTGACATCCACATGACTCCAGGAGTCAGCAATGATTACTGGTGAGTAGAACTGTAACTTTACTCCTCACTTTCATAGCTAACACACTGCATAGAACTGACAATTTGAGAGGTGGGTCATTTCATGCTTGTCACTCTCTAGTAAATACTAATCCTCACGTTTGGTACTGTGCCTTTCACATCAGGAGGACATCCTCAAAGCGCTTCACAGAATTTACTGTAAAGTGGAGAAACTGTTTCATGGCCGAATGGGAGTCACTGAGAGTCAAATAAGGTATATTCATTAAAGAGGTTCAGTGTCACCAATCTGCAACTTTTATGAAATTGGAGCAAGAATCTATCTTCCCACTCATTTATGCTAACCTCGCCACTTATGGAAACCAGAAACATTCTTTGAATTAAGTTACAAGCAACTTTGTGGCATCCCTAAGATGTAGCAAATATTAGCCAAAGATATTTTACATATGTATATTTAGCTCAAAGTAACCCACTGAATACCAGGCATTCTGTGGATTTCGAAATATAATATTCTGCCAACAGAGCGTAGGAGTCTTTGGGTGGTGCTAATCTGAAGAGTCAAGTGCATGAGTGGAAAATTAAGGCCCTGAAGCTTTATTTCTGGAAAAGTCTCAGTGCGAAATATATCAAATGTTCTGGCAGCCATTCCTTTGATGAACCAGCATGTTCCCTCCCAGGTGGGCCAAGGTTTGAAGTCAAGTGTTCTAATAAAGATTACACCTCAATCAACAGGTTGAGAGTGTCCAATTCTTCAACAACAAGAGACACAGTTTATATCCCTGTGTCTGGGCTCAGCAATAGTATTTCTTTTAACAATAATCTGCAAAAAAAATTCTTAATCTCACTACTTGATCACTTTCAAGTTTAATAAACTGCTAAAGATAAAATACTATATTCATAGCACAGAGTGTAAAGGATTGAGTAAATGGTGTCAGCCTTGTTCAGTTGGTAGCTCTCGCCTCTGAGTTAGAAGGTTGTGGGTTCATTTTGTTTGGCCTATGAGCGGAGACTGGAGGAACTGGGACTGTTTTACTGGCCCAAAGAAAGTTAGTTTTTTCTCTCTCTCTCTCTCTCGTTCTTTTGTGTTCTCTCTCTTTTTTTGTATTCTCTCTCATTCTCTTGTATTCTCTCTCGCGTTCTCTCTTATTCTCTTGTATTCTCTCTCGAGTTTTCTCTCTCTCTCATTCTCTTGTGTTCTCTCTCTCTATGTCTTTCTCGTGCATTCTATCTCACTCTCTCCCTCTCAGACTCTCCAGTTGACCACTTCTCAGAAGTTTCACACTATGAATCTGCATTGACATTGACGAGCCAATTCAGGTCATGGATTTGTAACTATATATAGTCTGGATTACAGTAGACCTTGTTCACACTTTCCTGTGATTGAGTCAGAGTGAAACTGAGACAATGGTGGATACATCTCCAGCCTTTGGTTGTTCAATTTTTTTATATGGAGTCCTGTAGCTCAGTGGTTAGAGCACTCGCTTTGCAAGTGAGAGACCTGAGTTCAATTCCAGGCAGAGGGCGAGACCTTGGGCAAGTTTCCTTACTCCACACAGAGCCTAATAATAATCCCCCCAAAACCAAAAACAATAATAAATTGGTCATTTTCAATCTACGACTGTTTGTGGGACATTGCTGTGCGCAATTGGCTGCCGAGTTCGCCCACAAATATACAGTCAATTCACTTTACAGTATATTCTGTGAAGCGCTTTGGGACGTCCTCCCGACGTGAAAAGCGCTATATCAAATGCAAGGATTATTATTATTATATAAAAATAGCAGATAAAGCAATTTGTTTCAAATTGTCACTAACATATAAGAACGTATGAAACTTCTAATTAAATTAATATTAGTCTTTTAAATTCAATTGATATATTTAATCGTCCCATGCTTCACAACTTTTGCATGCAAACACAGACACTACATTTTACAGTAAACATTCTGTGAATCGCTTTGAGTTGATTCGATAAAGCGCAATAATGATTATTATTATTTGTTATAATTTTTAACGTTTAGATCAGCGGGTTTTTGGTGGTGATATTTTTCTATCTAAAAATTTCACCGAAGAATTTTTTACACCAGTATTCAACCCCTACCAAACTCCGCACCCCCATCCTCAGGTTCTGTTAGCTTGTTTGGCAGCCATCAGGGCCTGGATGAGCACAAACCGTTTCTCTGCTTTGCCCCCACTTTGCCTGACTTCACATTGCATCTAAAGATTTTCCTCTTATACCGTGCTTATGGTGCCTTTTCTCCCCAGCTTGGTGCCACACTATGCCATTACACGCTGCGAGATGCTACCTGGGTGAAGGCACTAAATAATAACAAGCTGTTGTTGAACCTATTTTTTTATTTATGTAAAAGAATAAAACGGAGCAAAAATGGTAATCTTATCCATGCCATGATTACAAGTGATTAAAAAATAATGAATTAATGTATCTCTTCCAGTGCATTCCCACTACCTGTATGGACACATGATCGCTGCCTTTCGGGATTAATCCACTGCCATCTCTGTGAGATCAACCCTGGAAATCAAATGTACTTGCACAATAATTAGAAGGCACAGATGGTTTGAATGTACATTGACAGTTTATTTCAAAAGTTTATTTCAGTTTTGAGAAAAATGTTACTCTATAATTTTATTGATGTCGTAATTACTTCCTTTCTGTATTTAACCTTAAACAAACTGGCCGAGTGGCCTGACAATCCATTTTCAAGAGCTTTCAGTAGTATATGGTTCTGGTACAGTCGGTCACATTTTATAATCACAATACAATCGCTATTTTGTTGGTCAGAGCAGTTTTTCTTCAGAGTATAATATCTGCTGTATGTATACATCTGGCCATGAATTAATGTTTTTTAATGTAAATGTAAACATATATGGCTGACCGTGACAGCATATTTTAGATATTGAGGTTTAAAGTCTGTAGATTAACCTGAATTCTGTCTTAATCGTTGACATTGCTGCCATTTTTACTCTGCCAATATCTGTCAAGGATACCACCTTCTGTTCCTTTGATCGAGCAATTGTTCATTTTTACGAATGAAGTGTGCAATTATTTGTCTTGCCTTGTAAATTTGTAGCATATAAAACATGACTGAAGAGTGTGTCTAATAATTATTTTGGACTATTTGTGGAAACTACAGATACTACGAATGACACATTGTCATTATGTGCAAGAATCAATTCTCAATTTGACATCAGTTCCCAGCACCGGAAACATAACTCCACAAAACCTTTTTACAAAAGTTACTGACTGACTCCTGATATTCCTGCGGCCTGGTGTTCACACAGAGACTTACTGCCCTTTTAGCTTTTCATAATGAAGCCCACCCCAAGTCGCACAGGGGTGTTTGTGCACAATAGGTTCTGATCTTGCCAGTTAATTTTCCAGATGACATACCCAATGAGACACTTTGTCCCCCATTAATCTCTAATTGTTGTATTATCTACAGACCTGGTTTCAAAAGACAATGTTTTAAATCGTGCAGCAGAATTGTGATGCTTTTGTTCAGATGTTACAAAGCAGCCTCGTGCTCAAAGGGTTAATGTTTCACTTTTTTAAAGAAAATAATATTTTAATATTGACCGCATTGGTTTTCATCTCTTTGTGATCTGGATCACCCTGAAAGTGGTGAAATTACGCTAGGAGCGGCTTCCAGAGTTTCAGGGTTTGAAGAAAATTAACCTATAAAAAATCTTGCATTGCAGCTTTTGTTAAAGCAACATTCAAAAATTAGCATTTGCCATTTCTCGCTGCCCTTAAATGGTGTCCCCTACATCGTGACAATCTTGCTGTGAGATGAAGAAACAATGAGACATACAATCCTACCTTCCTGATCAGAAACTACACTGTTTAAAGTGCCGACAGCCCATGCAGCTCGCTATTATGTGACTGTGTTTCACAATTACAACTGTTACCATCAAAACAACACTTTTTTTCAATCTATCCAGATATTGCATTCAGCCACATTCCATTAGGTGTGTTAAATAAACTACTCTTTTTGTTTGGCTTAAACACTGCTGCTCACTGACATTTCCCCTCTCGTTCCTTTGCCAATTATATTACATCTGTGTCCCCTGGTTACTGATCCACCTCCCAATGTAAGGTTTTGGGAAAAAACAAATTGTCAGGTTTAGTTTTGTTGTCTGCTTGAATACGGGAACAACATCTGCTTCCAGTGGGTTGGAACCTCCCCAAGTCCTGGTTGACTCCCTCATGATGTCTGTCAGAGCTGCACAATCTCCTGCCATGTCTCCGAGGTCCCCTGGGTACAGGTCATCCGTCCCAAGGGATTGGTGGGTTTCAAGCCCATTGAGTCCAAAATCTCAGCTCCACTCCTGTTAAAGCCTTGGTGTTCAGTGTCCTCCCTGGTAAAAAAAAAACCTCCAGGAAATAGTTATTTATTATGTTTGCTATCTGCTGCTCATTCTCTTTTCAACCCTATTCGGGATTTGACACTTTCCCTGACTGCCCTCTTACTGTTATGAAAATTAGCACGTTGTTTGCATTAGCTGCTGTGTCCCTAACCGGTTCTCTCTTGGCTTCCCTAATCTCTTTCTAACCCCTCTCTGGACAGTCTTGTATTCTGCCCAACGGTCGCCCTCTTCTTTCTCCCTACAAACTTTGTAAATCTATTTACCCATTTTAGTACTTTTGTTTCATTTCCACCTATTGCACTCGGGTATATACTTGTGCTGTGTGCACTGCAGGATATTCTTTACGGACATCCATCTATCTTCAACTGATTTGTCCTTGACCTCAATGTCTCTGAGCTCAGCTCTCACACCCCTGAAGTTTGCCTTCCCTAAAGTTGTACACCAGAGTTTGATTGGGTGCTGGCGTTGTTTCCCAAGTTAAACTAAATTGAGCCACTAGTGGATCAACTACAGGACTTCCACTTCCTGAATAGTGCCACTCTATCCACATACCTCTCGATGGGCCAGCTGGACTGGCTCTTCTGCGCTGTAACTTTCTATGATTCCCGGACATGGAAACAGAGAGAGAGAGAGGCAATGAATACAATTTGGGAAGATCAGACAATAGGGGATTTGGGAAGATCAGATACTGTAGTTGATCCACTGAATGTGGATATAGAATCCCCTTTTATCTGATCTTCCCAAATTGTATTCATCATCTCTCTCTCTCTGTCTCCCACTCCGGGAATCATAGAAATTTACAGCGCAGAAGAAAGAGCCAGCTGGCCCTTCAAGTCTGTACCAGTTCTCTATCTTGCTCTCGGTCTCTCTTCATGTTGGGTCTCATTTATTTTTCTTCCTTCATCTTCTTCCCCTTTTGATGTCTCATCCTCTCAAAATGCATTTGCTGGATTTGTTCACCCAACAGTTCCTCGAATATTTTACTTTTCTCAAGTGTGTCAGCAATAGTTTCGTCCCCTCACTGCATCTGGAACAGATTTACTCTAGGCTCTAATTCTCCCCCCCCCCACACCCACCGACCTGGCATCACCCTGAACGTGTACATATCACATTCACATAAATATATATATATATTTCACAGAGATAAAGACTTTATATCACATTCTACACAGTGAAATCTTTCCTTATTCCCAGTGTCTCTTTTTCCCTCCAATTCTGCTTCTAAACAATGTTTTAAGTGTTCCGAGATGCTACTTGTGTAAAGGGCACGGGATAAATGGAAGTTGTAATTTGTAAAAAATGTTCACTTATTTTAATTATTTTAACTGTCAGGTTGCTTGTTATTGTTATTTAACGACTTCTTATTGATGTGTTAATTTGTTGAGCTGTGAGAAATAAATTTCAGCTGTTTTATTCCCAGGAACACTGTTAGAATAAAACATGGATTTTAAACTAAAATCGAAATGGCCTTGTGATGCTGCTATTATTTCCTGAATTGATATTCAACTAATTGTAGTATATCTGTAAGCCGTGTGCACAATCCTGCACAATACTGTGATATTTTGACAAGTTATAAGTTTTTTTTCCGTAAACAGGTAATTCCAAACTCTTCTTATAGAGTGCTTTCTTCCCCCCTCTAGTCTATACTATATTTGCTCGTTTACTGTCTATTTTTTGATCAAATTTACACTTCACTTGCACTAAAGTCAAGGACTTATACTCAGCCCAAATAATTCAGTGTTTTTGATCAATTTTCCCTGGTATTTTCAGTGTTATTTCTCAGATCTCAGATAGCAAGCCCTGCTCTCATCTGCACAGCAAGTAGGAATCACAGAATTGCAAAGTAATTTAGCTTGTTTCTTTTTATTAATCTTTGTCAGAATCTTCAAAACTTCAAGTGTTTACGTCCATTTCTGTTTTAAACCACTTTTTGGTGTGTTGGCTATATATTGTACTCAGACATTGTTTATTCTTGCCCAGTTTGCCTTGTTATGTGATAATTGCCATTTTACCAGACGTACTAATTCTAAGAAAAATTAAAATTGTTACTGCACAGTGACAAATGTTCATGATTACTTGGTGTTTGTTGACTGTATCTGTACAGCTTTACTTTACCTTTTTATTTGTAGCTCAGTGGTTAGAGCACTCGCCTCACAAACGAGAGACCTGGGTTTGATTCCTGGCAGGGCGAAATGTTGGGCAAGTTTCCTTACTCCACACGCCCCTGCTTATCTAGCAGTAAGTAGGAACCCGGTTGTTAGTTGATTGGCGGATCATTTTTCCGGGGGTTCGCGTTTCGCCCAGAAAATATACAGTCAATTCACTTTACGGTATATTCTGTGAAGCGCTTTGAAGACATGATAAGGTGCTATATCAAATGCAAGGATTATTATTTGCGTGTTTTTGATGATGAGCCTTTTAAATGCAACCGAAGTCTCGCTCTGGATTTTATTTTGTATCTGCTAAACACAGTGTCCTCATCTCACCACCAACAGGTAATGTTTGAAAAGATTGTTGATCTTTGCTGTCTTATTTCTGTTTGAGTGATCACTGCTATTATCACTTACTTACTACACCCGTGTTTTATTATTTTGAACTTATCACTGAAAATAGTCATATTTGCAACATCACCAGAGCTGCGAATCCTCGCCATTAAAATTGAGTACAATTTGTTGGTTTGTGGTAGATAATATCACCCGAGGTCAATCAGCTGTGTATGGTTTACCCGGCCTGAAAGCCTCCTCCTAAGCGGGTTAAATGTTTTCTTATCTACTCACGTTCAGACCATTCTTTGTTAATATGTCACCCTGCAGCCCTGCTTATACCATTTCCATTACCTCTCCTTAAAGTGGGTTAGACGAGATAGCATTTGTGGGGATACACCTGTAAGTTTACATGAGGTAAAACTTATCCGTTACATTGTCTGCCTTTAAACCAGTCTCCAGTAGGAAGCAAATTGTATTTTATTTGTGAAGCTGTGCAAGGTTTTAAGATATGATATTTATAACAGCAGTTTTTTTTTTAGCTGGAATAATGGAAGTGGCATTTGTGTTATGAGCACCACTTAAAATAGCCCAGTCACTGGTGTGGCGAAACACTGACAATAGCTCGGTCACTGTGTGGGGAGCCACATTCAGGAATATTGTTCTATCATTAGGCTGAGTGTTGTGGTCTGGTAAATCGATACTGCAGCAGATGCATTTTGAGGAGCGAAAGAATTAGTTTTCATTAAGATTTAATATTGATTTTGTCAGCACAGACATTGTGTGTTTTAGTGTTGAATAAACCGCTCTTTCCAAACCTGATAAGATGTCACCACATAGCTCCGTGCATCACCCACCGGCGCCAACGATCACAGTAACAGCAGTGAACAACAGTGAGAATTTGAATGTTACTAATTTTAACCACAGAGCTGTGTAATAATAATAATAATAATAATCCTTGCATTTGATATAGCGCATTATCATGTCTTCGAGATGTCTCATAGTGCTTCCCAGAATATGCTGTAAAGTGAATTGTCTGTATATTTTTGTGGGTGAAATAATCCAGTGTAACACTGGAATTACAATTATGAAGAATTAAATTATAACTATAAATAATTCATTCAATTATTTTGTTAACAGATTATTAATTAAAGCAGATAAAGAATCTAATAGATCGCAACCTCACATTTAGTCCAATAAAACATGATGATGTAGAATTGATCTGATCCCCTGGTGGCTGTACTGCAGGAAATGGGAAGCTTTTGGATTTTTATATGTGGATCATTTTTGGTTTCATCAGAGGTGATTTGAATTTTATATAGTTTAGACTATACATTGTACATTGAAATTATACGGTGAAATTCAAAATGGCATCGATATTTTGAATGTGTTTACTGCATATTATAAAGTAACGTTAATTAACACGAATTGATTGCTAAATTGTATGAAAACCTTCGACATCAAGAGCAGTCTTTGACATTCCGTCTATGCTGTAAAAACTACCCACTTTCTCTGGTTGTTATAGTGCTGGTTTCTGGCACAGAGCCCCAAGACATCCAGACAGCCTTTGAATCATGGAATATTACAGCACAGAAGGAGGCCATTCGGTCCATCATGCCGATGCCAGCTCTTTGGAAGAGCCACCCAATCAATCCCACTCTCCCCGCCCCACACCCCCTTTCCCCGTATTCTTCCAAATCTTTCTTCTTCAGTACCAATCCAATTCCCTTCTGGAGTGGTTATTGAATCTGTTCCCACCATCGCCCCGAGATATCTCTGAGCTTCCCGCTTGGCAAACTCAAACCCCTCTATGAACTGCAGTGGAAGCCGCTCAAGCCGGACACATCGGGACCAGAGGGTTGTGGGGGGTCCGAGGCTAACCGAATTACCATTCCCGCCCAGCGGAAGAATGGCGGCGGCTCCTCCTCCCTCCCATTGCCGTTCTCATTGGACGGGAAGGGGACCAATTAGCGCCAGGACTGAGGTGATTGACAGCATGAAGCCACTCGTGAATGGGTGAGCGCTCCATTCAATTACAAGCGGCTCCAGCTGTCGCGATTTGACTCCTCCCACTCCCTCCCTTGTTTCCTCCCCATTCCTCCATCCCCTTCACTGATTGCAGCCCACAGTCGCTTGTGAATGGCTGGAGTCCGCTGTCAATCATCACAATTTGACCCCTCCCATCTCCATCCCAGAGACAAACCACCGGGTTCCTACTTACTGATGGGTAAATAGAGGCGCGTGGAGTAAGGAAACTCGCCTAAGGTTTCGTCCTGCCTGGGAATCGAACCCAAATCCTCTCGCTTGTGAGGCAAGTGCTAACCACTATTCCTTGAATACGTCTACAACGAGGGAATGGAAGGCATATTTATGTGTTATAGAGTACTGTTAAAACTCATTCCTTCCCACAACATCACTAGTTAATGGGTCCTTGACACAAGCACCTGAGATGGTGAAGCAATTGATGAAACTGTTGGGTAGTGAGATCATCTAGTTGTGAGTTACACAATTAATATTTCAAATCATTATAATGTCCTTTTGCTCCTCCCTGCTTTAGGAATGTTTCAAAGCTCTTCATTGAGATGATAAGGAGCCCCACCCAGGTATGAGAGGATGGAGAAATTTAAGGATGTTGGTCAAAGGTTAAAGAGGGAAGTTTTTAAGAGGGTTTGTAAACGGGGGACAAGTTATAAGACAAAAGGATTTTGGTACAGTTTCTGAGAATAGGAGCATAGTGACTGAAGCTCAGGGACCGTTGTTGGTACAAAGGGACTGAGTAATAAGGATTTGGAAGAATGGAGGGCATGGATGGCAGAACCAGCCTGGAGGAGGTAGCACTGGTAACCAAGGGGTAATACCTTGAAGTGATATGAATGTCAGATCAATGATGTTGATTTGCTGGGGGTACTGGGAACCACGGAGCCCGATAATGATGGGAATAATGGACATGCACAGTCTACTGTGGAGTACACTCGGTCTACTCTGGAGAGTTTTAAATGGATTTGCCAGGGAGACTAGTGAGGAGATCATAGGAGAAGTCTAACCTTGAGGTGGCAAAGGCACAGATCAGGACTCCGTCACAGAGAGGATGCAGCTAAAAGAACAAGTTAAAATAAGTATTTCTTGATTAGGAGCAGATGTAAGGTTTGAAGCTGAGCTGAGGGTGGGATTACTGATGTGCCAGGAGAGCGGATGTGATGGATGTCTTTTAAAAAGTGCCCAAATTTTGTTTTGTGCTTCAGGCTTCACACTTGAGATCAATATAATCATTTTCCTTCCCCAGTGATATGGAAACTGACAAGAAAATTGAAGTCCTCCTATTTTCCTCCAGAAATGCAACAATTGCTGAAAATTGATTTTATAACAATAATTTTATTGTAAAAAGCAAAATAATTTAGCACAGACTCACTCAAAACAAACGATCAGTAAAAAGCAGAATTTATATTTACATCAAGTAACTTTGGCTTAAAAAGCACACATTGGTCAGAAAGCTTTATAAAAAAAGTATTGGCCGTTTTTAAATACAATTTAAGAATTGGGAATGAGAAGGGGGAATTCTTTTAAAAAAACGGACCTTTTTAGTCAACAAACTCGTATCAAACATTAAGCACAACACACATTAAAAATATATAAAAATAAAAAAGATGCCTTTTATGAAAAAAAATGTTAGAGCCAGTGAGGACTGGGTCAATTTGAGATGCTTTCCTCCAAATAGGTGCTTGGTGAAACCTCTGGTGTAATAGTGTCCACAATGGAGCAGAGCGAACGTAGGCTGGTGCCTCCCGACTGGAGCTTTGTGCCACTTAGTAAATGATCTGAAAGACAGAAATACCAATAATTATATAATAGTACAGTAATCCTTGTATTTGATATAGTTCCTTATCACTTCTTCGAGATGTCTTAAAGCACTTCACAGAATTTACTGTAAAGAGAATTGACTGCATATTTTGTGGACGAAACACAGCAGCCAATTTGTAGCCAATTTACAGCGCCTTGGGACGTCCTCCTGACGTGAAAGGCGCTTTATAAATGGAATCTTGTTGTTGTTGTTGTTGTTGTAGTGTCCCACAAACAGTCGTGGATTGAAGTGACTGACTTTTTGAAGTGACTGACTTTTTTTTTCTTCCTTGAGGAATTATTACCCCCGGAAAAGCGATCCACCAATTGACTAACAACTGGGTTCCTACTTACTGTTGGGTAAACAGAGGCGTGTGGAGTAAGGAACTTGCCCAACATTTCACTCTGCCCAGGAATCAAACCCAGGACTCTCACTTGCGAGCCAAGTGCTCTTACCACTAAACTACAGGACTCCATTACAATAAGTAATCAATGTAATCTAATGCATTTATCAATGGATTTATTTATTGGTTGTGTAAATCATGTGCAAAAAAAAAACATGTTACAAAAGGAATTATAGTGGCCTTAACTAAGCATGGAAAGGATTAAATATTCACATTGGTTTTGAATTATTTAAGGCAACTTTACGCCTCTCTCTGTATACAGGGGTTTCCCCAACCAGCAAATTGGACCCCATGGATCAGGATCTGACAAGTAATATGTATTTGGAAAGTGAGTTAATGAACTTGTAGGACCACCTGCACTATTGTATGTTCGTGTTGAAAACAGCAGTTTCCTCTTGTGAGAACAACAACAATAAAATTACATTTGTAGAGTGCCCTTCGCGTTGGGAGGATATCCCAAGGCACTGGACAGACAGAGTTATGTTTCCTCTTATGAGATACAATATATCTCTGAGCAGCACAGAACTTGATGTCCCCTAAAGCCATGTCAGCACCATCGACATGGTACAGTGTAAAACTACCTCTTATTCTTCCAAAATCTGACAAGCCAATATGAACAATAACTTTAAACTTTAAAGACATCTAGAAATATCAACACAGCAAATTGCAATTATAGAGCACTTTTTATGTTGGGAGGACATCCCAAACCGCTGGAGAGTCAGGTTTCCATCTGAGCTAGGGGTTGGAGGTCAAGAGGGGTGGAGGACAGGGGAGGTGGGGACAGAAAGATGACCGAAAGCATGGTTGAAGAGGATGCTCTTGAGACGGGCGTTGAAGGAGGCAAGGGAGGGGGTGAGGTGGAGGGGCTCCGGGATGGAATTACAGAGGGTGTGAGCAGAAACAATGAAGGCCCAACCGCTGATAGTGGAGCAGGCAGGGCGGGGAGACGTGGAGCTGGCCAGTGCCCACCGAATGGAGGAAGCGGGCAGGTTAGTAACAGTTTAGTAGGTTGCAGAGATAGGGAGAAGTATGGCCATGGAGGGCTTTAAAAGTGAGGACAAGTATCTTGAAGTTCATCCTCTGGGGGATGGGGACCCAGTGAAGCCAGGTGACGGTCACGGAGGTTGTGCAGGAGAAAACACGAGTTGCAGAATTCTGACTAATCCGCAGCTTGTGGAGGGAAGAGTTGGGATGTTCGGTGAGCAGGGAGTTAGTATAGTCAAGCCTGGACGTAATGAAAGCATACATGAGGGTCTCGGCAGCCTGAAACGAGAGGTAGTGATGGAGGCGGACAAGGATACGATGAGGGAAGGCAGAATGGGTCATGGCATGGATGTGGGGTTTGAAAGGTAGTTGAGGGTCGAGCAAGACTGCAAGGTTTCATACTGGTTCAATCAGTTTTCTTGGGCAAATCTTCCAAACCTTCCTGTGAGGAATCAGGAGCCATCGAACATTCAGCAGTCAGCCTTCAGTCAGTGGTTGTTGCTGCAATCTGGGGAGATGGTCAGAGCTGGAATGACTGCTTCATCCCTTACTGAACACCACTTTAGGAGTTTTTATGACAGCTTTTTGCTATCTTTTATGTGCAGACTTGTCCCACAATCCTTGTTTCTTCCAGCAAAAGATTGTCATTGAAATGTGGGTGTGTATAAACCATTAGATGTGTAAAGTGCTACAGGATTCAACAATATGTAGTTCAAATGGACAGCACGCATTTGGCAGTACTTATGTGGAGGCAGAAATGTATTTATAATAGTGAATCACTGATCTATTACTGTACCATATTCTTCTCACTTTCCAGTGATTCCCACATTTCGATCGGTAATTATCAGAATTGTTCGTTTGAACCAAAAACAAAAAGTCGGGTTTTAAACGTGACTATAAAGTGATGGACCAGGGGTGGGAATCAGAATCAATCACAGGTGTCACTTTATAGTCGAGATAAAGTTAGAATCGTGTTACTTCATGGTGAAAAAAACACTGGAGCCCTGTGCTTTTTGTAACCATGAAATAAGACAAAATAAACCGATAAACAAAGTATAACCTCAAACCCCAACCGCCAATGCTTGCACGAAGCTCGGCAATAACCGCAGCCTCCCATTTGTCTGCCCTCCACCCTCTTTCATGACCCAACTGTGCAGCGCCTTGGGACGTTCTCCTGACATGAAAGGCGCTTTATAAATGGAATCTTGTTGTTGTTTCTCATTGGACCTACCTCTGGGGTTGCTGTAGGGTGGGTGATAGTGCTCAGACGCGCTGCTCCACTCTGGACTGCAGGAAGCGCTGCTTGATCCACACTCACTGGGGACAACAACCTATAACCAGAGTATGGAAAGATTACCATTTACAGGAGAACATTCACAGTGAAAGGCAAGTTCCACATTACACGACTCTGCCATATACTTTGACAATATGGTAACCAGTTTACTGGCTGTCTGTGGAACATTGCTGTGGGCAAATTGACTGACACATTCCTCCACGTTACACACTTTCCAGTGAATCCTGTGAAGCACTTTGAGATGTCCTCGACATCATATCCTCCTCGGGTGGGAGGTAAGCAGGGTCTCCCTGGAGCTGCACTGGCTCGAAGGTGACAATGATATGTCAGAATCAAACCAGCCCCATGTGGTAGTCTCGGTGCTCCGCTTCCTAATCCAGGCAGGTCCACAGTATTCCAGGGCACTGCTGATGACAGCACAGCCCAGCCTGGCTCATCGGCAGGACCTGGAAGGGTCGACCAGTCACTGGGGGCAGGAAATCATCCCACTCAGCTCCTGTTAACCCTTCAAGCCAAAGCCCTCAACGGTAAGGTGGTCCAAGCTGGAGGAGCAGTGGGAAAGCTGCTGGACAACAATATCAATGGCAAACTATTCGGTATTAGCTGGTTGGACTCCTGCAGTTACCCCCAACGCACACTCTGGGGTCCCCAAACCTTGGCTCTTGCCAACCTGCGCCTAATACTTTCCAGGAATAGGTAAGCAGGACGCATCCCTCCAGGGAGAGAATGCGCAATGCATTCCAAGAATCTCTCTGGAATTTCCAGGTGCAGGCGGGATGCATGGACATCTCAGCTTGGTTTGGATTCTCTTAAGCATGGTGATGGGTTTCCACACTTATCAAACACCCGGCTGACCCCCCACCAAAAAAAAATCAACTT